TTGTGCCCTGCTTATTTTTGCTTAATATTATATTAATATGTTTTATATCATTTAAAACTTTTCCTAAAGATAATTTAAAATGACCATGATATTCTCTAATGTTTGATTGACTAACATGTTTCTTAGCCATTTCTAAAATTTTAACATTTACCTTGTACTTGACTTGCTATTATAAATAATCCTGAATTGAATATCTTCTTTTAGTTTATTTATTTATTTTTTTCACCTTGATATTTCTAAAATGGAAATTATTGAGAAGTCAAAGAATATCAACATTTTTAGAATTTTTAATTATATTCTCAAATTCCTTTGTGGAACTGTAATCATTTTGCATTTCCACCAGCAACATATGAGAGAGGATCCATTTTATGACCCCTTGTAAGTATATGATGTTATTTTAAAATCTTTGCGAGTTTGATAGAAGAAAATGGTATGCTGTTGTAATTAACATGTCTATGATTGTTGGGAAGTCAGATTTTCCCCCCCAAACATTTATTAGCTTTTCCCTTTTACTCTTTCATTAATTTTCTGTTTTGGGGCTATTCTAGAGTCTTACTACTTTTTGATGAGCTTTTTATCTACCAAGGCTAATAAGCTGTCTCATATATATATATATGTATATATATATATATGTTTGTGTGTGTGTGTGTGTATATAATGCCACTTCCCAGTTCTTTAAATTTTGTTTATTAATTTTTAATATGCTGAAGTTTGAAAGTAAATAGTCATTTACCTTTATTATTTTCCCTTGTGATTTTCCCCATGACTTTTAACTTTAGGAAGTTCTCTATTAAGAAATCAAATATTTTTCTCCTGTGGTTTTTAAGGGTTTGATATGATGTATAGCAATTATGATAATAATAATAATTTTGCACTTAAGTGTTTAATCCATTTGGAATTTATGTTGTCTGGTATTTTATAAAGCTGTAAATTTGTTGTTGTTGTTTTCTAAATAGAAAACCAATTATTCCAACACCATTTGTTGAGTAATCCTTTCCATTTCATTCCTAATGTAGTCATTCCTACTTTTTATGAAGTTTGTGTCAGGCTAATTCTGTCATTTCCTAACTAAAATAATACAGTGCAAATTATGTATAATCGTAATGTAACCTAGGTTTCTGTGCTGCTTTACAGACTGAATGTAGACACTCGAAGAAGGAGACCAAAAATCAATTCATCATCCCATGGACCTGTTAAACTCCAAGAAGCATCATATTCAAACAATAATCAAATTATTTCAGAAAGTCCTTCTTCAAATGGAACTAAAAAAGATATAAGTAAATGTGTAGATTTTAATGGTAAAGATATTAAATTGACAAATGTTAGGAGTAACCTTGACCATGGAATTAAAAACCTTAGCAATCCTAAAATTGCCAAAGATGTGAAACTTAAAGCTGAAGGTCAAGCAAATGAAAAAACACGGCCTCATGTACTTGCTCAGAGGGAGAAGATGAAAGATCTCAAGAAAGAAAGGGACAATAAATATAGAGACGGTTCTGAAAAACGTGTTTTGGAAAAATGCAAGAGAATCCAATTTCCTCAGGATTATAACTCCAACAAGATATTTAAGGAATCCCATGAATCTAGAAGAAGGAAGATCAGTTTCAAAATCCCAGTAAAATCCTATGATACCCACCAGAAGCCTGTAGAAGAAAATGTTTTCCTTTTAGACTCCAGCAAGTCAAGGACTAAGCAGAAGAAAAGGCGCCTGGAAAACTTTCCAGTTTCATTAAATTTGATGAGGCACAAAAGTAAACATTTGTTTTCAGATTCCACTTATAAACAGACTGTTCGTGAGTGGAAAGGGAAATATCATCATGAGCATCGAGAAAGTAATGATTCAAGTTCTAGTGAAAACCTGACCCAGGTAAGGTAGTATAAAACAGAATGTAGCAAAGAGGAGTATTGTTCCCATTACTGATAATGATCACAGAGGGCTGGTTCAAATTTAGCCAGGAAGATATGTGCTGGTTTCTTTATTTGATCCCTTTAATTCCAACTTCCTTAGGAAGATATCCTGGCAAGTATCAAGGATCCATAATAGAAGGGAATAAGTAAAAATATAGAAAGACGCAGTTACGGATAGTTCTTTAAAAAATGCACTGTCCCTGGCCAGGTGGCTCAGTTGGTTGGAGTGTCATCCCCTACACTAAAAGATTTTGGGTTCAGTTTCTGGTCAGGGCACATACTTAGATTTTGGGTTCGATCCTCGGTTGGGGTGCGTTTGGGAGGCAACCAATAGATGTTTCTCTCCCTATATCCCCTTTCTTCTGTCTCTAAACTCAATAAAAAACACACACATATCATCTGGTGAAGATTAAAAAAAAAGCACTGTGGCAGTCTCTTAGGCTCTTCTTTAACCTCAGGTATTATAGAACACCCAGGAAATAACCCCAAAATAAAACATCATTGATTGGCTGCCTCCTGCATGCCCCCTACTGGGGATTGAGCCGCAACCCAGGCCTGTGCCCTGACCGGAAATTGAACCACCATCTGCTGGATCCTAGGTTGATGCTCAGCCGCCTAGCCATACTGGCAGAGCTAAATACTACTTTTGTAAACTTAGTACTTACAAGCCTGTGAGGTAGATATTCATCAGTTTATCAAATATTAATTAAAAGTACCTATTATATATCAGGTACATTTCTAGGTTTTAAAGATTTAGAGATGAATAAGATGATCTTTACCCTCAAGAGGTTCCCAGGGAGGCAGATTAGTAAACAAGTACAGTTGTAGTACAGTGAAGTAAATATTAGAGCTCCTGGGTTAGTGTTAGTATAAATTGGGGGGTAACTTAAAGAAGGGCTCACCAAGGTGGAGATTCTTTTTTTTTGTTTTTTTTTTGGTTTTAATATGTCTTTATTGATTTCAGAGAGAGGAAAGAGAGGGAGAGAGAGAGACAGAAACATCAATGATAGAGTCATTGATCGAGCCCACACCTGGGCATGTGCCCTGACCGGGAATCAAACCCTGATCGCCTGGATCCTAGGTTGATGCTCAACCACTGAGCCATGCCCGGCACGGTGGAGATTCTTTAACTTAGTGTCAAAGGATGTGTAAAGGCAGAATTAGAAGTGTTGCCCTGCCAGGGTAGAGGTCCAGTGTGTGTAATGGCACAGAGCTGTAAAATTTCATGTCAGGAGCATACATGGGCGCTTCAATTGAGATGTGTAGATAATCTGTTGGAAAGGAAGTAGGAGAGGCCGCCAGGGTCCAGACTCTGGATTATTTTGTATTCCATGAGAAAAATTTTCTCTTGTATCCTGTGGTTGGTATAGGGCCACTGAAACGTAATGAAGAAAGTAGTATAGTCAGGTTTTCAGTTTAGAATCACTCTAATAGATAAAACCATTATTACCCTCATTATTGATATTCCCTTTTGTCATCCTCAGGCTTTATCTCAATCCATGTATTTAATAAAGCATGGTTGGGGAAGGCAGATAGTTAAATGCCCACTAAGACTTTCTTTTCTAATAGGGAAGAAGCTTTCAGAGACAGTTGACATGAACTTTTCTGGATTTGGGGTGATAAAAAGTTTACTGAAGCCATTTTAAGTGGCCTGTGGCCTAAGAGAGTGAAGGGTAGTACTGACATTAGTAAAAGAATGAAAAGACACTGAATGTCAAGAGTTGTAGGAAGTTCTGATGATAAACTCTCGCTTGCTTGGCACTTCTTAGCTGAAGAGAACCTTAAAGATCTAGTGAGATTTAATGTCAGGTGGAGAAGGGATTATAAAACCCAGAGTCATGGAATAGTAAAGCTATAACAGGCCTACGTGTGTGATGTATATAGGGTTAAATCATGTGAAGATTGGTGTTGGGAAGTTAGGGAGGAAACTGAATTCCCAATAAAGCAACATGTAATTTATACCCTATATAGCTTCCTGGGAAATACATGTGAGTTTGGTGTTACCTTGGAGATTTCTTAGATGATCTGGCTCAGTTAGTGGCTTTTGCTGAGTTCCCTATTACCTGTACATAGGGTCAGGTAGGTCTCTTCGACTCAGCAAAAGTGCATGTGAAAAATTGGAATTTGTAGAGAGGTTTTCAACTTCTGCTAGAAGAAAAACAACAACAACCCAAACCTCTGGTGCTCTACCCATGTATAATACAACTGTGAATTTTTTAGCCTTTCCCCCTCAGTCACATTATAATTTTCAAGGTCCCTTTTGTTGTTGTGTCATGTCACTTTTAGAAATGGCTCAGTTACTCTTGGATGAAAATTTCCCACCAGGGAAGACCAGCTTGCTTACCTTTGCCATGGTTCTGTTTTAGTTTCATTCTTAGAATATGAGTAGTATTTTTAGTAATGTATATATGAATGAGTAAGCCCTAAAGAATTTCTACTATGTTTCATAACTTAATAAAATGAGGCTTTTCTAGTCAAGGGGCAGTTTCTCATCTGGGGGTAATTTCACCCTTTCTGGGGCGTTTGGCATAGATTTGATAGAGGCATTTTTGATTATCAAGATTGGGAAGGGTGTTCTACTGGTGTCTAGTAGGTGGAGGCCAGAGATACTGCTAAACATCCTATAATGCACAGAACAGCCCCCATAACAAAGAATTATCTGACCCCAATGTCAATAGTGCCAAGGTTAGACAACCCCACAGTAGGTATATGTTTCATTCTAAACTAATAAAATTACTTTTCATTTCAGAGTTTTGAAGCACGATACTCTTCGTTGTCATATGAAAGTATTCCAGATACAGATCAAGAGGTTAATGATATGCTTATTTACTTTTAATATTTTAATGAAATTAAGTCAAACAGTTCTAATTTTAATAAAAAATAATGACTTTAAAAACCTTGGTAATATGAAAATAACACCATTATTTGTCCTTATATCAATCTGTAAGTTCTTATGAAGTCACCTTTTTGCCTTTGTTTCTTATAAGCTTGAATCTGTTTTGAATAAAGAGCATAGAGCCCATGGCCCACAAGTTACGTAAATTTTGATTTAACGTTATCAGGCTTTTGCATGCTTATGCCTGGACTTGCCAAAATGCAGTTTGATACTAACATGCTTTTTTGCCCATTTTTTTCTAATTAGCGGTAAGATGAAAATGTTTTTCAGTGAAAGCGAGAGTGCATACGTTATTTATTATTTTTACCCACTGCATCATTTTCCCAACTAGAATCTCCTGATTGAGCCTCATAGAATTATTGCATAGATTTTATGTTCCCTGGTCTTTTATGTTCCCTGGTTCCCTGAATTAAAATTAGATTTATAGAACACTTTGTATTTTCCTATTTTTAAGAGGACTTTAAAACCATATTGATTGTGACAGTTTTTTATTTGTGACAGTCAGTTGTATTTTTCTGTCTTGTGAGTAACTACCCCTTGATAGAAGAAAGATATCTGGCCTCTGCTCTAAAGCTAGATTTAGGTTTCAGTTTTTGATGGTTCATAAACAATCTTAGAAATCTCAAGAAGAGCTCTCATCATCCTGATATAAATATATTTGGCTCCTATAGTACTTTGAAATAAGAATGGGAATGAGAGTTAACTTAATGTGAATATCCACTACCTACTAAGCTCTGTGTGAGGAACTTCACAGTATTTTATTTAATCCTCACAGAATTACTAAAAGGAAATAGATGTTTAACATTCCTATTTTATAGATGAACAAACTGAGACTCAAGGTGGTTAAATAATTTGCTACGGTACAGAAGTATTAAGAGAAGAACTACTTAAAAACCCTGTGTATATAGATAAGTCTATTATTTTACCATATTGCCTCCATATTTTTGTAAATGTTTTTCTTTCCATAAAATATCTTAAGTGAATTAATTAAGAATTCATGGCTTTCTTATTAATCTGCAGAGTAAATAATTAAAAAATATTTTATTGCGGGTCTTTTACAATTTAGATGCAGATAGTAGAAGAGCTTCATGCTGCACGCGTGGGGAAAAGTGTGGACTTGCCTGTGGTACCCCCTCCTGGGGAGTTATCAAGTATGGAGATCGACTTGGTGGAAGATGATGTGCATTCTTCTGCTGGTATGCCCTGATAGTATTTGTAATCTCCTGTGCTTGCTTTCTCAAAGCCGAACGTGCCAACATTCAATGTTTATGATATTTGGGTGAAAAATGTTAAAATGTGCTCATTTGAAATTATAAAGTGCAGTGTATTTTTTAGCTATAGAAATAGGTCTAATATTTACCTTATCATCATTTGTTTTTATATATCTCACATTATTAGGCAGACATATTTTCTCTTTCTCTTTTTGCCAAGGGGCAGTGATCAGAGTTATGAGTTGTCTTTTATTCCTGCTATTAATCGTAACTTTTAACTACTTCAACTAAATAAAGCACTGGTCAGAAATAATGCAAATTGCTCAAAGTTATTATATGCCTGGATTTCTTATTTATATAGTAAAAGTTTGATCATTCTTACTAGTAGGAGAAGATAATAATAGATATTAACCAAAATCTGTTAGTATGCTGTTTTGAATTGTATTTATTAAAATAGTAACGCTATATCACATTCACACTGAATTTTTCAATTTACTTTTTTAATGTACATTAACCTAATTCTCTCACCATGGCCCTATAACATGCTAGTATTATCTGTTTTCTTTCTTTTACATATATTTTTCTTTTCAATTATATTTCACTCAGAATATATTAAAATGAGTTTACAATTCCTAAGTGCACAACTACCAGTGATGCAGGATAGAGTTTGGCAACATAGTTACTACTCGGGCAAGTCAGTTTATGATTTAGATCCATCCATAAACAATTTATAATATTCTACTGGTGGATAGTTAATTATTAATTATTACTGTTCCTCCTCTTACAAATTGGAGTTAAATGCATTTTTGTTTTTGTTGTCTGAAGAACTGCTATCAAAGTTCTATGATATCAAAATTTTAGTTTTTAAGGAAGTCTATTATTAAGTGTCATGAAATCCTAACTTTGCTTTTTCTCTAGCAAATACTGCTTCAGACAAACAACTTCTAATTGTTATTGATACAAATATTCTGATGAATCATCTCAAATTTGTTAGAATTTTGAAGACAACAGAAATCCCAGGTATTTATAAAACATATTTACTGATTCTGATTTTATTTGAGTTGATATTTTATGTTAACAGTAATATGGGTATTCCTCCCCAACACATTTCCTTTTGTGTATGCTATTATGCATATATTATGCATAATCAGCTGAAGTTAAAAAAAAAAAAAAAAGAGAAGAGTCTTCACAGGTTAACCTAGCTATCTAAATCAACTCTTCTTTGATCTCCAATAGTATTTATTTTTGTAACATTCTTTTGACGCATGTTTTTTATTTCAATTTTTTATGTATTGTCTCGTCACTTAGATTGTGAATTCCTTACATTATAACTTTCAATCCTCCAACAGCAGTTTGATTTCGTAGCTCTAAATATTTGTTGACTTATAAGACATCTTTTTTACTTTTTTAGGCTTTGACAGGCTTGTGTTAATAATTCCCTGGGTTGTTGTACAAGAGCTAGATCGTATGAAGGCAGGAAAACTACTGAAATATGCCCAGCACAAAGCTGTACCTGCGGTTCGCTTCATCAATGACAGTCTCAAAAGTCAAGATAGAAAACTGTGGGGTCAATCAATACAACTCGCTTCTCAAAAGCTTTGTAGGTATTGTTCTCTCGAGTACTTCCTGATTAGGATTTGTTGGGTACCGACTCATTATTGGAGGGAAAGGTGCAAGACTTATAAAAAATTTATAACCATTGGAATGTAAAATGGCATGACATAGTGATGGGTTGGGGTATTCTATTAGGCTTGGTTTGGAGGTCTTTGATTTTAAAATTTTTATGCTCTTCCTAGACTTCCTTAGGTTATGTCTATATTTCACAGGTTGTGACTGCATAATTCTGTGTGCATAGTTGTATGTAATATATTACTTTGGATTCTTTTTTAGAAATACTATTATTGCTTTGGCTGGGTAGCTCAGTTGGTTAGAGCGTTGTCCTGAAACACCAAGGTTGCGGGCTCCATCCCCGGTCAGGGTACATACAAGAATCAACCAATGAGTGCATAGCATAAATAAGTGGAACAACAAAAATTGATATTTCTCTCTCTTCCCCTTCCTCTCTCTCTCTAAAATAAATAAGTAAAAATTTAAAAAATATATAATAAGAAAAATACCATTGTAGAATGATGAGTGATGTAAGTTGCTAATTGATCACTACATGCAGTTAGTACAGTGCAGAGGCAGGTTTTGTTTTCCTCTTGTTTGTCAGAATCTGTAATAAGGGCTGTTTTTATAATAAAGGCCTATTGATTTTCTTCTGATTGGATTTTTTCCATATTCATTTCATTTTTAAATCACTCTAATGTTAGAACCTCATTATGCCTTTTATGTTTTACATTATACAAATTTCAAATGCAGAAATAGAATAATATAATGAATCCCTTTGTACTTATCACTCATCGTCAGTAATTATCGACATGTGCCATTCTTGTTTATTCTCTCACTTCCTTTTTCCCTTCTCCCCCAACTCCTGAAACTTCTGTAAAAGTTTGAAGTTAATCCCAAATATCATATCATATATTATTTTTACCCATAAATACTTAGGTATGTGTTGCTAAGAGATGTGTGTGTGTTTTTAAGAAACCACACTATTAACAAAATTAACCCCTTATCTAAGCCATCGTTTCAGTAAAGCCCCAGTCCTTAAAAAGACATAGGAATTTTGCTTACTCTTAATCTTTTTTTTTTAGTTTGTTGCTACAAATGATATTTTATTATTTAATAATATAAATAATTATGATGATAATATATAACACTTTTATGGCCATTATTCTCCAGACCCTTTTCCAAATGCTTTACAGCTACTGTCTCATTCAGACTTTATAGTACTGTGGAAGATACTCTTATTAGTCCCATTTTACTGATGAGGAAATTGAGACATAAAGAGATTAAGCACTTGTCCTAGGTAGAAATTCCTGCAATAGATTAGCTTTGAAAACTATTTTAGAAGAGTTCATTTAAGAATAGATCTTTTGGCCCCATTTGTTATTTTTAAGTGAGTTAAGTTTCTTTTGATTTTTCCATTTTCATGTGCCTTCTTGATGTTCTGACTTCTTCAGTCTGTGCCTTTTCGTGATTAAGGAGAGTAAATCATAGTAGCTGTCTTAAACTTTTTGGTTGTCTCAGTTTCTGGGCGTCTTCCTTGAACTCCATGTTTCACTTTAATGTTTGAGTTTTATTATTTGATCTTAGTTTTGTTAAATTGCTGAAATTGCTTTTAGTTACAGGGTTGTAGATATAATAATAGATTATTTGTGTAATTGTCTATGTCAGATAATATATAAAGTACTTAATGGTTTATGGCCTGGGATAGGCGATATTTCTTGTGTCCTTATTATATGAAAAGCTTATACAGACTGATTAGAAAAACTGAATAAGCCTTTCCCCTATGGATGATGATTATTAATAGGTAATTCGCAAAAGGAAGAAATACAACTAGTCAGCCCTTTGTTCACTGCATATATCTTCCTGTCAGCCATTTTTAAAGCTGTTAATTTCCTATGTGTAAAACTTTTTCGATTTATCTTTCATTTTTTTTCTTTATTTCTTTTTATTGCTTCTAAAGTTATAAAGTTACTTTTTTCCAACACCTTCTAGGAACACTTATAGTGCTTTAGTGTTTTGGGAATTATGAATTAGTAGCTTTTCAGGAGAGCAATTTATCAGTGTGTATCAAGAAGCCTAAAGATAGAATTCTCTTTCTAGTAGTATATCCTAAAGAAATAATCAGAGCTGCTCACAGTGATTTCTATAAAAATGTTTATCACAGCATCATTTACACAGAAAAAAATTTGAAACAATCTGACTAACAATTGGAGAAGTTACATATAGTGCTATAGCTATATGAGAGAATACTATATTTTGGAAAATGTTAATGACATGTAATATTAAACAAAATTTGTTGAATAAATATTTCATGAATATTCTTGTAGTTTTAGGTATGTTTTCCAGCCCCCTGTATCCTAGAAAAAGTGATAGAACAGCCCTGGCTGGTGTGGCTCAGTTGGTTGAGTGTTGTCCCAAGCACCAAAAGGTTGCCAGTTCCATTCCCAGTCAGGGCACATGCCAGCGTTTTGGGCTCGATCCCTGGTAGGGGGCGTACAGGAAGCAGCCATTTGATGTTTTGCTTTCAAATTGATGTTTTTCTCTCCCTCTCCCTTCCTCTCTCTATAAAAATCAATTAAAAAATCTTTAAAAAAAGAAAAAGTGATAGTACAGATATTCTTGAACTTTGGTATCATTAGAGCAGTCCACTATAACTTGTAAACCTTCTTTTGTCTGCTGAATTGAGTTGTTTAAAGTTAACTAATGATTTTGAGCTGTCTACTTTGCATTGTTGTGGTACTTACTCTGTGAGTGGAAAGGAGGAAAATTGGCTGTTGTAATATATGTCTGTCTGGCTCACTGGCTGTCTGATTAAAGAATTGAATTAAATCTCCTTCAGGCTCAGCCTCTGAGATCAGCTGAGTTCTGTCTAGACTTCATGATGAGATTGTGAGCTCCTCAAGAGTTTGTCTTTGAATATCCAATTACTTAGCATAGTGACCTGGCACAAATTCAGTCCTGTATAAGTATTTATTGCAGGAATCAATGAGTTTTCTAATTTGAATGTTTAGAGGACTAAGTAATACAGGCTAAAATTTGAGGGAAACAAAACATCATAATCTAGGAACATTGCTCGCTGGCTAGTATGTTTTGAATTTTAGTGTGTAAGGGACTTCACAAGGGCTTAAATCAAATCAGTCTTTGGGTCCAGGCTCCAAAGATTATTATCCAGAATTGGGGCCTGGGAGTATGGTCCTGCAGTCTGTATTATAAACAAGTACCCTGGGAGTTCTGAGTCAGGTAGGGTAAGGACCTAGGAGAAGCACTGACTTTGGTCCTATTTCTGCACATTGCAATATTTTCACAAAAACCAAACTTTTACCACCTGCTTTAAAGCTTGGAGAATGCCAGAGAACACCCTGTCAGCCACTGATTAACATTTGTTAGGGATTATTTTCTGTGTTCTCTGCTTAGGGCCCATATTGCCTTCTCCTGTACATCTCTAACTGTTACTGCTTTAGAGAGTAAGGAAAAGCAGACACATGAAAGTGGTTCTGTTGCTGATAGAACATCTCTTTTAAGTTGAGATCATTTTAAGCATGAGGTAATCATAATTTACTAATAATCTCTAAGTGACCAAATTGAGACTAGAATTCATAGCTTTTGGTTTCTCATCTGGCATTTAACCTACGGATCACATTTTTTTGAGTTTGTTAATGGGCATATTCTATGCCATTTAGTAGAAAACTAACCACTTTTTCAAACTCACAACTATATGCTACGTGAGCTCTAGATCCAGAATTTTCAAGGTATTGTTTTGCTGTGTCATATCTTCCTCTTTTCATTTTTATTTTATTTTATTTTATTTTTTTAAAGAGAGGAAGGGAGAGGGGGTGAGAGATAGAAACGTCAATGATGAGAGAGTCATTGATCGGCTGCTTCCTGCATGCCCCCTACTGGGGATTGAGCTGGCTCTCCAGCCATGTGCCCTGACCTGGAATTGAACCCCAACCTCCTGGTTCATAGGTCAACACTCAACCCCTGAGCCATGCCAGCCAGGCTCCTCTTTTTAAGGGTTTTTTTTGGTATGTAAGTACAGCCTAGATTATACATATGGTACCCAGATTTCTAGTGTGTTTAATGATAATTGCTTTTACTAAATTTGCAGATGGATTCAGTGATGAGAACAATGATGATCGAGTATTAAAATGCTGCCTTCAGTACCAGGAATTATTCCCTAGTTCTCTTGTTATTCTGTGCACGTGAGTTTCATGATCATTTTAATTCTTTTTTTAAAAAGTAACAAATAATACCAAAGAATTTTTAAAAATCATACTGAATCTACCATATCAAGGATCAAAAACATGTATACTTTATAAATCTGCCAGGAAACATATTCAGTTATAATTCTTTTTAATTTTGAATTTTTATAAGTTTATTTGATGATACATGCTGCAGACCAAGATCTCAAATGCTCCCCTCTTCTTTTTCTTATTGAGATATAATTGACACATAGCATATTAGTTTCAGGTGTACAACATAATGATTGATTTTTTTTTTTATATTACCGAATGATCACCAAATTAAGTTTAGTTAATACCTCCATCACCATACATAGTTACAAAAAATATTTTTTCTTGTAATGAGGACTTTCAAGATCTATTCTTTTAACAGTTTTCAAATATACAATACAATATTATTAATTATACTCAACATGCTGTACTAGCTCACATTCTTACATATAAGATATGGAAGAATGAGGTTTGAATCTCAAGTAGATGAAGTTTCATTTCACTTTAATTTATATAATATTCAGAAAACTTTTGAAAAGCAGGGAAATACCAGTTTAATATTCCAATGAAACAGTTCAGAAATAAAAATTTGACATTTTTTGGTTATGTGCCAAGGTTAATGAGTATGTGAGAAAGGGGTCATTTATGTTGTAGTTTTGTTCTCGGTACCTGGATTGGAGTCCTGATCTACCACTTACCCCCTTTGTGACTTGGGAAAGTTGCTTAACAACTCTGTGTAAAATAGAGGGGGAAGAATAATACCTTCCTCATGAGGTTATTGTATTTAATCAGATGATATATATGAAGGACTTAGTGCCAGTACGCAGTGTGATCTCAGAGTTTTTCCCTCGTTCTCCCTCCTTTTCCAACTAATATTTCCAACTAACATTTTCATTACTTAGTTCTAAGAGGAGACTACCATAATGCTAACCAAGATTGCATTCATCGTGTATGAGAAAAGGCTCTGGGAAGCGTTTATCTCAGTCTGTTGAGATCTTTCTTCCAGGTTTATCCTGTTTGTCTCAAATAAACTTCTATAAAAATCAAAAGAAAAGGCTCTGAAGGAAACATGAAGAATAGTTATAATTTGCAGTTTTAGTCTGAATTTAAGTCACTGCAAAATAGAGTTTTTACAGTTTCATGATCATGCCTAAATTCTGTGTGAAATGGAGTGATTATGGAAGTAAATGGCCCTCAGATTTTTCTTCTAAGGGGGCTTCGTCAATTATTATTTTAGCTCTCTTCAAAGATAATGTTATTCTTTTTGGAGTTAAAGGAAACATCGGAGATTTCTATCTCTAGGTTTTAAATTGTTTTGATCTAGAACATTTCATCTCAGAGTTTGTTGAAGGCTGAAATAGAATTAGTAATATGCTAATCATTTTGAACTTTAGCTAAATTTGAGCATAATTGTTGTGTAATTGGTATTTTTTTAGTTCAACTTAGAATGAAAATTAAAGTAGTGGGACTTCATCAATTCTTTATTATTTCTGCAGTCACTCGTGATTAATAGATGTAACTTTTTTTAGTGAAATGAAAATTTATAGTCAAACCTTATTTTTCTCACACTGTTTTCTAAATAAGCCTCTTTTTTATTTATTTATTTTTTTCCTATAAAGGCCGATAATTGTGCCTACTGTGTGACTCACTCTTATTTATTTTAAGGATACATTGCTATTACCTAAATGAATGATGATGATGATACTAATTGGTAATGATAGTAATAGGAGAACTTCTATAACACTGTATACTATATACATCATTTTAAGTGCTTTATTTACATTAACAGTCCCAAGTATGGGCCAGATACCCCTAGTTGTTATCTATAATCCCTATCTTCTAAACTCTAGTCTGTTTATCTACTTATTTGATATCTCTACTTGGATGTCTCATAGACATCTAAAAACTACCATCTCCAAAAACAAACTGTTGATCTTTCCTTCTAAATTCTTCTCCATCTGAAAAGTTCCACCTTCCACTCATTTGCTTAAAACCAGAAACCTAGGAGGCATTTTTGACACCTGTCTTTCATTTTCCTCATAATCTATGTCTAGTTAATTAGTGGTGCCTGTATGGTTCTCTTTTATCATTCTTGCCAACATTCTTTGTCAAGCCATGTTTTTTTTTTCTTTTCTAAGACTACTTCCCTCTACTTCCACCCTTGCTCGCCTTCATTTATTCTTCAAATTTTTTATTTTTATTTTTAAAAAGTTTCATCATGGAGAATTTCAACAATATTCAAAGTAAAGAAGAGTTAATAAAAACTCCTACATACCCAGCTATAACAATTATAAAAATTCTTCTGTTATCTATCTATACATCCATCCATTCCGTGTCCTCCTATATGTTTATTTTATATAGTTCTTTGTATTTTGAGGGAAAATATACATATGTTGAAATGGACATATTTTAACTGTACAGTGTTGACAATGGATACACTGGTGCAGCACACATCCCTCTCTATATAAAGAACACTGCCATTAACCTCCCCAAAAAGGGTATATTTGCTTTTTTCTAGTTTTTTAAGGTGGAAGCTTGGATCGTTTATTTGAGACTGCTGTACATTTTCCTTTAAGCACTGCTTTAATTGCATCCCACACAATCTGATATGTTGCATTTTTCTTTTCATTCAGTTAAATATGTATTCTTTATAATTTCCCCTGTGACCTCCTCTTTGATCCATAGGTTATTTAGATATTTGTTACTTAATTCTAAAAACTTGCAAATTTTTCAGTTTTGTTTTTTTTGTTGTTATTGATTTATCAAGTTTAATTCTGTTATGACTTGAGAACATACTTTATATGATTTCTGTTTTTTTACATTTGTTAAAGTTTGTTTTGTGGTCTACCTGGTTAATTCATGTGCTTTTACAAAGAGTGTGTGGGTGGAGTATTCCATAAACTTCAGTTAGGACAAGTTGGTTGGTAGTGGTGTTCAAGTTTTCTATAACCTTACTGATTATCTGTCTACTTATTCTATGATTACTTAAAGTGAAGTATTGAAATCTCCAGCTATAACTGTGGATTTGTATATTTCTTTCAGTTTACTTCTCTTTATGTATTTTGAAGCTTTATGGTATGATACATACACATTGGGGATTATTTAGGATTGTCTCACTGGAAATTTATATAATGTCTCTCTCATTCTATAATTTCTCTCTTTGTCCTTGATAATATTGCTGGTTCTGAAGTCTCCTTTGTTAAGTATTAATATTATTTTTCCAGTTTTGTTTTGGACAGTATTTATATGGTGTATCTTTTTCATCAACTTACTTTAAATCTACCTGTGTCTTCATATAAGTTTTTGTGGACAACATATAGTTGGTGCTTCCTTTTTTGCACAATCTGACAGTTTCTGTCTTTTCATTAATGAGTTTATGCCATTCACATTTAATTGGTTGGATCAGAATCTACCATTTTGCTAATTATTTTCTATTTGTTTCATCTGTCTGTCTTTCTTTTATTTGCTTAATTGTATATTTTTATGGTGCTACTCTATCTCCATCATTGCCTTATTTCTATCTTCTTGAAAAAACCTTTTTAATGGTTGCCCTAGTGTTTACAGTATACATCTTTACTTGATCAAAGTCTGCCTTCAAATAATTTTACATTTATTTATGTGTAGTATAAGGATCTTACAACAGTATATCCCCAGTTTCTTCCCCCTATTTTTTGTGCTGTTGTCATAGATTTTATCTTTACATAAATGATAAACATGTAGTACTTTGCAATTATTTTTGCTTCACTCGTTTACTGTTTAGAGAAATTAAAGTGAGAAAAAAAGGTTTTTTTTAATCTTACATTCCATTTTGAGCACTCTTCATTTCTTTTTATAGATCCAAGTTTCTGTCTGGTGTCATATTCCTTCTGCCTAAACAACTTTTTTTGACATGCGTAAGTCTCTTGACAATGAATTTTAGGGTTTTGTTTGTCTTCTGATGTCTTTATTTCTTAATTATTTTTGAAAGATATTTGGGTTGACAGTTCTTTTCCTGGTATTTTAAAGGTGCCACTCCATTTTCTTCTAGTTTATATGGTTTCTGATGAGAAGTCTGCTGTAAATGTTGTTGTCTTTGTTCCTCTGTATGTAATATGTCTTTTTTCCTCTCATTGCTTTCAAGATTTATCTTTTGCTTTTTTAGCAGGTTTTTTAGCTGTTTTTAGCATATATGCCCAGATGTTTGGGGGGGAGGGGCAGTGGAATTAGGGGAGAGCAAATATCCTGCTTGATGTTCTTGGAGCTTCTTAGATCTTTGGTTTTGTGTATATCTCTAGTTCTGGAAAATTCTCAGCCACTAGTTTTCAAATATTTCTTCTGTCTTGTTTCCTCTTTTCTCCTTCTGGTATTACAGAATTATATTGTAGTAACCAGCTTTCGAGATAACCCCAATGATTCCTGCCTCCTAGTATTAATTCTCTTGTATAGTCCCCTCCTACACTTTACCAGGATTGGTTATCTGTGATAGATAGCATTGATCAGAAGAGATAGCATGTCATGCCTGAGATTAGGTTATAAAAGACTGGGACTTCCTTCTTGGGCACTCTTTTGCTTCCTTCTCTCTCTTGAATCACGTGTTCTGGGGAAGCAAACTGCCATGCTGTGAGCAGCCCTATGGAGAAGCCCACATGGTGAGAAAATAAAGCCAAGAGCCAGTGAGGGGCAAAGGCCTCCCAACAACCACATGAATGAGTGCCAATTAAACCTTGAGATGGCTACAACCCTAGGCAACTGTATGCTCCAACCTTGTGAGAGACCCTGAGCCAGAACTATCCAGTCCAGCTGCTCCCAGATTCAGGAACTATGTGAGATAATAAATGTTTATTTTAAACTGCTAAATTTTGGGATAATTTGTTACACAGCAATAGATAACTAATACATGCACATATGTTAGACTATTTGATATAGACCCGTAGATCTTTGTGTTTTTTTAACCTTTTACTCTCTTTTTGTTTCAGTTTGGGTAATTTCTTTTGAACTGTCTTCAAGTTTTTTTGTTTCTTTTCTCACCTATGTCTATTCCACTGAGAGGCCTGTTGAAGGCATTCTTGATCACTCTTACTGTGTTTTTATAGCTAGCACTTCCATTTGATTCTTATAGTTTTCACCTGTGCTGAAACTGCCCCTATGATTTTGCATACTATTCACCTTTTCCATTATAGCCTTTAACATATTAATCAAAATTATTTTAAATTCCCTGTCAGATAGCCTCAACCTCTGTGTCAGAGCTGAGTCTGGTTCTGTTGATTGCTTTGTCTCTTGTCAGCATGTTCTATTTTTCTGGGCAGAATTTATGTGCAGATTTTATGGTTCACCTGCCCTGTGGTTTCCTCTCGTCTTCAGTTTCCCCCTTAACTTTCAGTCTGCTCTGGCTAGCCCTAAACATTGTCTTCTAACATTCAAGCTATTAAGACTGTGGCTTTCTGTCTTAAAACTGATAATATAGGGAATGCCCTCAGGCAAAAAGATAGAAACTTACAGCTTTCACCAGTCTTGAGAGTAGACTCCCCTCCAGCTTCTGCCTACATTTTATTGCTCTCTAGTGCCTTCAAGTGGTTGCCTTTTTTTTTTTTCTTTTGGTTCAGATCTTCTAATTCTCATCTATGGGAGTGTTAGTCTCACCAAGCTATTCTGCCATTAACAAAAGCTAGAAACCTGCTGGACTTCAGAATGATTTAATAAACAGATCTGATCATGCCACTTCCACATTGAAACCCTTAAATGTCTTCCCATTTGTTAATGTCTTTGCCTTTTTCTTCAGCCATATTAACTGGTCTCATGTACTATGATCTAATCATACTGACTTCTTTCAACAAATAGCAAATTCACGCCATTTGTTTTATTCTCACTTCGAGTAAATTTGTAATTACCAGTTCTGTGTAAATTATTTCTCTAACTATGGCTCTTTCTGTTTATTTCTCATTGGAGGATCGTATTCCTGTGTTCAAATCCACCTCCAACTACCAAGTGTAACTCTGAACAAGTTACTTAACTTCTTTACACCCCAGTCTCTCATCTGTGAAATGGGGATAGCATTAGTTTCATTTCTACCTAAGAAGTTTGTTGTGAGAATTAAATGGAATGATACATACATAAAGTGCTTAGAACAGTGCCTGGTACTAGGGAAACACTCAATAAATAATAATTATTATTATTCTCTAAAGCTCATATGATGTGTGACTCAATTGTGTGTTAATTCTTTTATCTTCTCTATTTAAAATAAAATTGGCCTCTTTTGTTAATACATATGCTGAGAATTACAAACCTCTGATTAGATCCTATGTATTTTGAGTTGCCATGTGATTTACCTTATTAAAAAATAAAAAATAAAGTATTTTTTTCTCCTAAACCAACCTTAGGGATGATAGAAATTTAAGAAACAAAGGCATAATAAGTGGTGTGAAGTCACTCAGTAAAGAAGAATTGAGTGCAGAGTTCTTAAACTTGTCTCTGAGCACAGTTGTACCTCATCAGCCTTGTGTATCTAAGCAACAATTGAAAGCAGGTAATATTCTTACTATGAATAATTAGAAATGTGACTAATGAATAATTAGAAATAAGACTATTTTATATGCTAAGGTTATTGATAACCATTGTAGTTAATAACAGATTTTTATCTTGTATATTTAAAATAACAGTGTTTGGAGTATTTGTTCACACGTAAATGGTAGAAATGAATGAAAATTATAATGGTAATACAAAAGAAAACATAATTGACAGTATTGCCTTCTACATATACTTTTACAAATTAATTTGAATATTTGTTGTTCACTCACACACAGTTTTACATGCTTATAATTATTTTGTATATACTATTTTGTACCTTGTAGAGTATACCTTTTAAATTAATAGTAGCTATAGGACATATTCATTTGAAGTAGACATTTTTGGTTTCTTTTTTAAAATTAGCTTCATATTCATAACCTATTAATACTATAAAAACTTGACTCTAGTACTAGTTCTTTTTAAATTTTATATTAATAGTTAAGAAAGCTTAAGGCTTTTTTTTCACCGGAATAATCTCTTTTTCCCCAGAATAATCTGTTCTATACTAGAGTATGGTATTTGATAGAGTTTATATTAAGTCTGACATAATTTAAAAACACATACCAGCTTTTCCTCTATGGGGAAAACTGAAATCTCTACTATTATATGAACTTTTATATATAATTATATAAAAATTCATGTATACACTTGCTACTTATTTGACCTTTCTAGTAGTAAATTTTCTTTAGTCATAACATTCAAAATGGCATTTAGAAGGAGTAACAGGATATTTTAGTTTATAGTTTTTGGGGGTAACATGCTTCCAGTTTGCCCATTATATTACTGTCATTTTAAACCCTTAGTTTGTGTTTATAGAGATAAACCAGTTAATATTTTGAATTTTACTATAGAGACATGATAGTTGTTTTCAGGTATCAAAAGTTATGTTAATGAAATTATATCAGTTAAAGTAATAAAAATTCACTTTCAAAGGGTTGGGCACAAAGGTAGTTAAGTCAGATTTTGGTCCTTTCAAAGCAATTTATTGATATGAGCTTCAACTGGAAGAATATACTTGTTTTTGGAAGAAAACAGTTTGATTCATACTTCTTAATTTTCTGTTATACACAGAATCAAAGCATTCTCATTATTTTTCTTCTTTATGAAAATAAGAGAATCAAAATTGTAGTTAAAATATCACAGACATTTCTTTCTCTTTTTTTAATCCTCACCTGAGGACATGTTCATTGAATTTTAGAGAGAAGGGAAGGGAGGGAGGGAGAGAGAGTGGGAGGGCAGAGAGAGAGACATTGATGTGACAGAGAAACATCGATCAGTTGCCTCTCGAATGTACCCCAACATGGCCAGGGATCAAACCCACAACCTAGGTATTTTCCCCAACTGGGAATTGAACCCAAGACCTTTTAGTGTATTGGATAACGCTCCAACCAACTGAGCCACACTGGCCAGGTGTCACACACATTTCTTAAATTTTTATTTCAGTGACACTATTTAGTTGCCTTTTGTCAAAAAGAGAAAACATCTGCTAATGTAATATGGTTTATGCTGCATCTAAAACAACTATACTAGGGATACATGTTTCTAAATACTGTTTTTAAAATAAAGTATTGGTTTGTTTTCCTAGGTAATTAAAATACTAATTATATACGTAAAATGTTTATTATTTATGGCCAAATATAATTACATATGTAAAATATTTACTATTAGTGTCCTAAAAAAAGCTTATAATTGTTTTAAAGAGCGAACACCTTTGGGAAAGAGTAATGAGGAAGAATCTACAAATTCTGGACTACTCATTCTACTTGAAGGCATAGTATCTGATCTTGAAAAATCTCTTGGAACAGCTTTATCTTCAATATTAGAAACAGAAATGAAAATTGCTTTTGGAAACCTCTGGATGGAGGTGATTATTTAAGCTTTGTTAGTTAAAAAGTTATTTTTTATTGCTAAAGATTGGTTAAGAAATACTTCTTGATAAGCTTTTTAGTAATAATCTATATCACATTATATTTTTTCTTGGAAGTTTTTGAAATAACATTTTCAAAATTAACTGAAGGACATTTCCAAAAGATTAGGACTATATTTTATTAGAATAGATTTTTTTCACCAGTTACATGAAATTAGATTGATTTCCTCATAGAAATGATGTTAAAAAGTAGATTGATGACATTTGCTAATTAAAATTGTGCTGCTTTTGATTAGAACTATGCTTTCTTTTTGCATGTGTAGTTTCTGAAACTATATAAGGATTATACTAATATCCATTTTACAAAGGAATTGTAATGGAAGCATTTTAAAGATTATAATTAGTTTTGAATAAGACATTTTTTAGTTTAAAAAGAATTCAACTAACTATATTTTTCTCAGAAATATATGTAGATATTCCTGAATAGGTACAGTTAATCCTTGAACAACTTGGGGTTCTGACCATCCATGCAGTTTAAAATCCACATGTAACTTTTGACTCCCCAAAAAGTTAACTTCTAATAGCCTACTGTTGACCAGAAGCCTTACTAGTAACATAAACAGTCAATTAACACGTGATTTGTATATTACATGTATTCTGTATTCTTACAATAAAGTAAAGAAAAGAAAATTATATTAAGAAAACCATGAGGAAGAGAAAATACATGTAACTGTACCTGCAGAGTTCTAACCTGTTTTTTTAAATTTTTTTAAATAATAGGAATAATTAATAAATCAGTAGATGCTGATTTTTTCTAAATACTTTTTAGATGCTATACTTGAAACCACCATGGACTCTAATGCATTTAATGCAGTGCTTTAGAAAACATTGGGTAGCTGTATTTGGATTAATTACAGAAAAGAACTTGCTTTTAACCGTTGAGAACTTACATGACAATCTCTGTAAAGGTATGAATCTTTTATTTTGTTTTTAGCAGTGTTGTATTAAAGTGAGACTAGCAGATATAGTTCATGGAATGTGAAGATAAATTAATAAAAATTTAATCAGTTCTTAATCATTCTCATTTCTAAAGGGAATTTATGGCAGCTGGATGAATGGATACAGTTCATAGAGCCGTGACTATTAATGATATCATTGTTGATGTTCCTTGATATTGTGAATATATAGTTTTTAATCATGTTTGGAAACTTTTTAAACCACATTTTATAGGTTATTGAGTGTGCAAATAGAATTATTTAGTTTTTTTCATTTCTCACTGTGTTTAACACAGTTTTGATCACATTTCATGTACTAGTTTTTAAAATAGTGTATCAAGCCCGGCCGGGCGTGGCTCAGCAGTTGAGCGTCGAGTCCCGGTCAGGGCGCAGGCCCGGGTTGCGGGCTCGATCAATGACTCTCTCATCATTGATGTTTCTATCTCTCTCTCTCCCTTTCCTTTCATCTCTCTGAAACCAATAAAGATATATTTAAAAAAAAAAATAGTGTATCAAGGTTTCTATTTAAAATATAAGGAATAGGAAACCTTTGGCTTTCCTGGATAGTGAATTTTAGAACCAGTAGAGACTGTAGTCAACCACTTAAGCTGGTGGTTTTTAAACCATGTTGGACAGAATCTCAGGCTTCTTGAAGTGCCTCTGGAGCTGCCACCAATGGGAGGTGGAGAGGTTGATGGGGGCCTGGCAAGTGGTGGGCCTCTGGCCTTCAACCCGAGCTTTAGCCAAGCAGCTGTTTTTTATCTTTTTATATATGGAGATTCCATGTAGGATTTGAAAAAAAAGTTTCTCTGAATGCCTGAAAAGTGTCTTTATTATGTAAGGGACATGGAACAACATATTGGACATGTCTTCAAAGCAGTTTTACAAGATATACATTGAAACATTTTTTTTTCATATCTTTTACTAGCGGCATAATTTAGTTGGTTCTTCCAGAAGAAACAGTCCATAAACTATGTGTATCTTGAACAAGATTTAGTTTCAAAAATAGGGTGTTGAGTTACCATCCTCCATTTGTCTGTTCTTTTTCCATAAGTGAGCAGTGTTTTGCTCTTACATGCAGCTTAGAGATAGTAGGCGGCAGCTCTGATTGGCAATAGGGAAAGAAGTGAAGAGACGGTGACTGTTTCTTCTGCTAAAAAATCCTTTTTGGAATCATTATTGATCCTTGGTCTAGAAGAATCTGATGCCAAATGTTTACTGTAAAGAATATTACTTTACAGTAAAGAATATTAAATAGAATTGTAAAAGTGTCTTCTGCTCTAATTTTGAATTAAAAGAATCACAGATTATGATTTTGTTTACTATCTTTAATAGTATCCTCGCTGTTGAATTATGAATATGTGTTTAACTTCAGCATACCAAACAGGAATCCTTAGATCAATTCATAGAGAATTGTGTGGGAAATAACTAGTAGCTTTTTCTGACTTTGTTATCCATATTTATGTTGGCTTAAATAACTATTGTTCTTATATAAACATTAAACTGTTTCAGTCATGTATACTTCTTTTTATGTTGTGTCTAGGTATTGACTTTATCACTGTTATTTCCCTTTTGCTCATAATCTTTGTAAAGAATTTTCGTAAGGCAGAAATAAAGTGACTAATTCAAGGATATAAGCCCTAAAGAACATAGACCACATTTGAGAAGTACCCTTAAAAAAAGTTGTATCCAGTTTCTCCTACTCAGGAGGTTTACTAGGTTCATTGACTCTCCATTCTGTCCTGTGTGTAGCATCTCTCTCATCTCTCTTTTCCCACAGGAATTTAATCTAGTCATTGACTTTAAAAATAACTAAAAGTGTTTTGTACAGAAATATACTATTTGTTTGCTTGGTAAAAGGAAAGCCAGAAGCTTGGCTGTAACCATCACATTAGATTAGAATTCTCAATATTGTGTAATTAATTATTAAAATTTATCTTTAATTTTCATTTGACCTTTCAGTATTTCACGAGCAAATATTCACTGTGTAAGTGATACAGGGGAATTCTTTATTTTTTTAACTCATAGTGTCAGTGAAAAACCATGCTGGTGTTTTGGAATATAACAGTTGCTGAAACTGAACATTAAATAAAACACATTGTAGCATGATTATTTTGAATTCCTTTGAAAATTGTTAGTAGCACTCTATCTTAATAATGGAAAAAATTCTTTTTATTTTGGGTTTTGGTGACATTAGAAAATTACTTAACTTTATTCATAACTTTTTAAATCTTTCAAAGTATTGTCACCACCTCTCCTAATTGGTTTGAGAATTTAATGTAATTTTAGTTCCTTGAGAGAAAATTATACCTTTAAATTATTACTTGTAGATGAACTCAACTTTGCTAATTTACAGGGGGGAAAAATTCTGCTAGCTTCTCTTGCCCCCAGCTTACTGTTACCCAAATTATTTATTTTTTGCTAAATGTGTCATACACAGAGAGAAAACAGGTTATTTTCAGTAAATCTAGTATTATATTTCATGTAATGGAAATTGAAGGTAAATTACTACATAATAACTGAGTTGATTATGAGAAGTACCACATATAATTTATGTGCTTACCACCAAAATGTTACTCCTCTGATGCCTCCATAGTAATTTGTATGTGAAACAATCTCAGTTTTGAAAATCTGTGGTTAACTCATTTGTTTAGTGATCAGCTCTCTTTTCTGAAGAGTATGTCTTTGAGTTGACCATGTTGTGGGAACTCCTGGAATCTAAATACAGAATACCAGAATCAACTCCAAGCACTTTGTAACTAAGTCTGTTTAATTGTTGCTTTTTATACCAGAGAGATAAATTAGGAGTGGCTGGTAGGTATAAATGTGTACTTGTCTTAAATCTCACAATTAATATTAGATTAGTTTTCCAAAGACATTTTGTGAATTGTATACTCATTCTTACATGTTTTTTCCTTCTTAATTTTCTATTACCAGCTAACAATGCAGTGGATTTTACAACGGTGAAATTCCTGCTTCAGGATTCTCAAAGCCTGTTACATGCTTTCAGTACAAGGTCAAATTATGATGGTATTCTTCCGCAGGCCTTTGCTCAAGTCAACAAACTACTCCAAACATTTTCAGAGGTAGGACACCTTTGAAATGCCATTTAGAATAGCTAATCACATACATTCTAAATGTATTTAGCAGATAACAGTAGGGAAAGGCTATTTTAATTTTAACTTTAACATACAGAGGCATTAAGTAAACTATTAAATGAATTGAATGTTGCGTAAGCAGTTCTTATTACAAGTTATAAAACACATTGTCCTATGGAAGTAGTGTCACAGCAGTTGTTGGGATTTTAATTATTTTATTTATTGGATAGAAGAAAGCTATGAACTGTTGTTTGAAGATTCATTTCCCAGTGCTATAAACCAGTGGACCACAACATGCATCAAAATACTTTGGGAATTTTTTTAAACATGCAGGTGCCAAGCCTCTCTCAAACCTTACTGAATCAAATTTCTGAGAGTGGTGTTCAGAAATGTTGTTCTTGTTTTACTTTTTATTCTGATATAATTTCAAATCTACACACAAAAATTGCAAGAGTAGTACATAGAATTCCCATATATATCCTTTACCCAGATTCCTCAATGTTAACATTTTATCACATTTGCTTTATTGTTTTCCCTGTGTTCTTACCTGCCTTACGTTTCACACATTTTTCTGAACTCTTTGAGTACATTGCAGATGTGATTCCCCTTTAACCCTAAATACTTCTATATGTATTTCCTAAAGAATAAGGATATCTTATGTAACTAACATAATTAATCAGGAAATTAATTTTGAAGTAAACATAGTAACTAAAAAAAGAATCCCCCTAATCTTAATTTACCAAGTGTAGCAAATCAGGAAGAGAGGAATATTTATTATTTGTTTGCTTCTGAAAAGGCTTCTGAGAGAACCAAAATGGAAAGTTAACTAACATGGTCATTTTCCAGGTTTTTGTATAAGGAGGGTGGGAACTGGAAAAGAATATGCACATTTTTCTTTTATAAGCCTTCCAACCACCAAAAAAAGAGTAAGACTTGCTCTACAGGATGATAGAATAATTAAGATTGGTCTTGAATAGTTGTGTTTTGACCTTTGGTTGTTTAACCTCTCTAAGCCTTAATTCCTTCTTTTGTAAAATGAATATAATAATCTCTGCCACAAAACTGAGATGAGGAGTAATAAATATGTGTAAAGGACTTAGTGCCTAGCACATAAGTGCTATATTAGTGTGCGATAAAGAAATCCACTGGCATAGTTGGAACACTGCTGTTTGAGAGCTGAAGACAAAAAGCATTATGTGATGATTTAAAAATTTTATCTCATTAGATGCATATATGCATGACCTATGGACACAAACAATAATGTGGAGAAGGCCTGGGGAGGGACGTGGGTGGATGCCAGGTGGAGGGGATCAGTTGGGGGAAAAGCGTGACATCTATAATACTTTCAACAATAAAGATAAATTTAAAAAATAAAAGTAAAAATTTTATCTCAGAACACAATATTGTCTTTCCATCCATGTGTATTTATTAAGTTCATAATTAATGTAAACTGGCAAAAACAGGAAATAATCTTTTTTCTTCCTGCCCCAAAAGATAGGAAAGGGTGGTATTTACTTTTACAGTTGGAGGGGGATCATAACCCCACTCATAGTCAGGTTGCTGAAGGTCAGATCCTGTGAATGCCTCTTACCATCTGTGTGACTTTACATGAGCTACCCAGAAAACATCTCGGTTATAAAATATGAATAATCATGGTATCTGTTTCATAAAGTAGTTGTGAAGAGTAAGTGAAATAGTAGATAAAAGTTCTTAGAAAGTTCCAGTGTATAATAAATGCTCAGTAAATATTAACTGTTATTACTAATAGTATTGGAATTTTCTTTTTTTAATTTGATGAGCATGAAACTAACCTTGGAAATGATACTTTTACCAGCAAGGAAATCTAGAGAAAAAGTGATTTTATATAAGTTCACAAAGAAGTTACAGTAGAGCCAAGACCCAAAACCCAATATTTTAAACTCATAGTTAAAATTTTCTCAGATTTTTTTTTTTACCTAAGTTGATCTTTTCCCCCAAGGTAATATTTTTCTAAAAATCACTTTAATATTTTACTTTGCTTTAAAATAAGCTCAGATCTATTCTTAAATATTTTTCATTGAGCATACAATTACTGTACTATCTCCTTCCATCAACTACCAAACTTCTTAAAAGAGCAACCTATAACCACTGTTTCCATTTCTTTACTCACTTAACCCTCAACCCTTTACAAGTAGAATTCTGCCTTCACGCTCCATTAGAAGAATTAGGTTATCATTTGCCTTCTAAAGATCAAACCAACCCTTCCCTCGCTTTCTCTCACTCTTCTTTCTCAGCCTTCCTTCAGCACTTGATGCTGCCCACCCTTTCTTTCCTGAAACCTCTCTCATGGCTTTTCTTGCTATTGGATACTTCTGATTCTTCCCTTATCTTGTTGGTCTCTCTTTTTCTTTATGTTAGTTTCCACCTTTCATCCTTTAGGGTTTTTTACCTGTTTTGATGCTCTCCTAAGAATCTTATCTACTGTAATGCTTGTCTCCTTTCCCTTATCTCTAGCCAGTCTTTAGTTTTGGCTTTATTAAAGGTGGCCATAAAATCCAGAAACATAAACATGAATGGTTTATTGCTATTATATTATAATACACGACACGTTCAATGTGTTGTCCTTCATCAGCAATGCATAGTATAATGTGCTGTTTAAAACGGCAGTGAATGTAGCACAGACATTTCCACCAATGCCTGCATGTTTCTGAGATGCGTTGCTTGGAAGTATTTGTATTCCACTTTCCCTGAATAAAGCTGTCTTTACATTTCTTTGGAAAAGTAATCAAGAAGGTTCAATCTAATTTTTAAAAAATTTATCTTTATTTTTGACAGTATTACAGATGTCCACTTTTTTCTCCCCATTGACCCCCAAGGAGGTTCAATCTATTTAAGATACATTTCTAGACTTTATAGACACCCTAAATTTCTCTTATTTGTGCCATTTTTCTAGACATCTAGGTTAGAAAAATTTTAGGGTCCTTGAATCTAGTCTTTGGCAAGTCTTTAAAAATATTTCTTGCATACTTTTTTTTCTTTTCAGTCTACTGCATTTTCCTACCTAATTCAAGTTCTCAGGACACCTCTCCTGAATTATTTCAATAGCCTTCTAACCAGTTTCTTTTTCTTTTTTAAGAATAGTTTATTGATTTTTAGAGAGAGGAAGGGAGAAGAGAGAAACATTGATGTGAGAGTGTAACATCGATCGGCTGCCTCCTGCACAACCACCACCCACTCACTGGGGATCGAGCCCACAACCCAGGCATGTACCCTGACTGGGAATTGAACCAGCAACCTCTCAGTGCATGGGACAGTGCCCAACCAGTTGAGGCAAACCTGCCAGGGCCTAACCTGTTTCTTACCTCCACTTTCTTCTGTTCCATTTTGTCTTAGAGTGCAGTTCTGAATGTATCATTTCTTGAGAAGCCTTCAGCGGTTCACCATTGCCCATAGGATAAGGCTTATATTCTATCCTGATTTTATTTTTTATAGCCCTTTGAATATCATTCTTTTTACTGGATTATAAGGAGCTTGGAGACTTGAGTATACCTATTTATCATTGTATCTCCTAGGTGTCCTCTCTCTAGTTCAATACCGTATGTGCAGAAGAGGTTAAATTGATGTTAGCATGTTAACTAAGAAAGGTCACTCTAATAAATAGATTGGAAATATTGTTTGATATAAATGGAAAAGGAAAAAAAAATTTTAGCTCTGATACTTTTCTGGGAATATTCTGTATGTAATCAAGGACAGAGAATAGTCAGCACTTCCCAGAAAGATAGAACATTTGGAAGCACAATTGGCATTCTTTTTCTCTCACTTACTAGTGAAGGACTAGCTGCATTTTATGTAATACTTATTTCCCCAGGCCAAGGCAAAACTTAATCGAAATCCTTCAGAAAATACAGCAGGTAAAAAGCAAGAAGATACTTCTCCAATGAAGTCTGACAACCAACAAATCCTCGTTTTCTCAAGCTCTCATCTTCCCCAAACCAACAAGCATCAAGAAATCTGGTCTGTCTTAGAGAGTGTTTGGATTACAATATATGAGAACAGGTATTAAATGTTTAAGAATCTTTGAATTTTAGGGTTTTCCATCATTACTCTTTTTCATTGAACAGTTAGTGTTTGGATTGTGAGTTTAATGTACTAGATTATCTTATTGAGGGTCTTTTGTCAAATTGATACCTTAGAAACAGTGATGCCTAAATAGGAGTGTACATCAGAATTCCTTGAAGAGTTCTGGGAAATTTCTGGATAATAGACTTTACATTGTAGTATTTCAGTAAGTGAAAAGTGCTTATACTACTTTATTAGTGTAAAGTTATTAAAGTCTATTTCAGTGTTTCTCATGCCTGATTGTGTACCTGAGTCACTGTAGAACTTTTCAACATATTTATGCTTGGCCCTTTCATGTAGATATGTTCATTTGAAGTTCTGGTAGGCCTCATGCACAATTACTCACCTGAAACTACTAGAGCGCTTAACACACACAGTAAATGCCATCTCCTTGTACTGTGTTCTTGTAATTCAGTTATCGGTTGTGAACTTACAGCACACCAGCTCAGGTTTTTGTCTTTTCTGTTTATGAGGAATTTGGGTAAGTGTTAGATACTATTAATGATTAATGCTTCATGGATTTAATAATGCTTATCTCTAGTTGGTGGACTATGGGCACTACACATTTCCTTCTTTCTGCATTCCTGAATTTTTCATGTTTTCTATGATGACTGGCTCTAAATGTATAAAAAGTTGAAAAGAAATAGTTTTAAATAAAATAAGTTTATGGTTTTTATTTTTAAAATAATAAATGCACAGAACGAGTTGTCTTTCTATACATTAGCAATGAACAATCCAAAAAGGAAATAAAACAACTCTACTTACATTATCATCAAAAAGAATAAAATACTTAGGAATAAATTTAACCAAGAAGATGCAAGATTTTTACACTGAAAAACTACAAAACATTTTTGAAAGAAATTAAAGAAGATCTATATAAATGGAAAAATACAGTGTTCATGGATTGGAAGACTTACAAAGCTACAGTGTTCAAAACTGTGTGCTACTGGAATAAATAGACACATAAGTCAGTGGAATGGAGTTGAAAGTACAGAAATAAATGCATACATCTATGGTCAGTTGATTTCAACAAAGATGCCAAGGCCATTCAATAGGGAAAGAATGGTATCTTTAACAAATAATGCTGGGACAACTCAATAGCTACATGCAAAAGAACGAAGTTGTACCCTGATCTTATACTACATACAGAAATTAACTCAAAATGGATAGATGGCCTAAATGTAAGAGTTAGAACTCTAAACTCTTAGGAGAAAACAATTTAAATAGATTAGTATTATGAGAGATCAGCTATAAATATTTTATACACTAGAAATTGAAATACTTGAATTACAGTAAATATGCATGTGTACCTATGAGTATCTTTGCCTTTTCTCTATTTCAGCACAGATGTGTTTCAGAGATTGGGTTCAAATTCAGCTCTGACTTCCTCAAAAATACCATCGTTTGAAGAAGCGTTTATATATCTTCAAAAGTTGATGGCAGCTGTGAAGAATATTCTTGAAGGAATTCAGAGGTAAATATGAATTAATTTTAAAGTTTTATTATTACTTTTTCTTCTAGGCTTATCAGCTTCTTGTAAGTTGCTGGGAGTCTTCCAGCAAGTTTTATAAACTGATACAGTATATATACATATACTGTTTTGACACTACCTGCTTGACACTACCTTTTCTACGGATAGGGATATCAGTATGTATTGAGTTTCTCAACAGCTTATTGAGCACCAGCTATGCTAGGCATACTAAATGCAACCTCTGACTCCAATGAGCTTGTAGAAATAGTACAAACAGCCATGTTAAGGCAGATAATTGCAATAGAGAGTTATTAATATTTTAATAGGGACATATGTAATGGAGGGAGGAAGGGTTTGGCAAAAGAGGCTGGATCAAGGTTGGAGGTGACTCAAAGTAGTTTCCACTCTATCCTATAGGCTGGTATTTCTCACATTTATGACCATTAATTATGTACCTTGACAGACTTGTTTCTGGTTCAGATAGCTTTGGAAATATTTCATACTATACTACCTTCTTGGAAAATCACTAGATATTTGTTAACATATTAATGGATTTTATTAACTTTTGCTGTACAAACCTTTTTAATTTTAGGAGCTTTAAACATATTGATGCCTGGGTCCCCTACCCCAGAGATTCTGACGTAATTGGCCTATCAGAATTTTAAAAATTTCTCCTGGCAATTCTAATGTGTAGGCAAGGTTGAGAACCACTAACGATATGCTTAACCAGTGGTTCTCAAAGTGTGGTCACAGAACCAGCATCATCGTCACCACCTGGAACTTGTTAAAAATATAATTCTCAAACCCTACCAGACCTACTGAGTCAGAAACCCTGAGGCTGGGGCTCAGCAGTCTGTGTCCTCCAGGTAGCTCTGTACACTCAGAGACCTAGTGCCACTGGCCTAAGTGGTGGTACTCATGCTGGTGGCTGATTATAATAATCAGGGAGCTTTGAAAAACAGAAGACTGTCCAGGCCCTACACTAAGCCTGTAAAACCTGACTCTCTGGGAGTGAGGCCTGAGCATAAGCCTTTTTACAAACTCGCCAGGTGATTTTCCTGTGGAACCAGGGTTGAAAAGGTATAGCATGTACTGCCTATGTAGCTATATATAAAGAAATTAATATTTGGATTTTAAGGCTGATACATTTTCTTACTCTTTCCTTTAAGGTCACATACAACCAAGAATAAGAAAATATTAGTGGCTCTGCTACTTTTTATCATGTATGGCCTGGGGTAAATTGTCTTAAGCCTCAGTCTTTATCTATAAAAGGTATAGTGATGCCTTTACAGAGCTTTGCAGAAAGTTATTGTCCTTTGAAAGTCAGGTGTTGGTGTAACTAACCAAACCAGTGATTCTTCATTTATTTGCTGGGGAACTTGTTAAAAATGCGGAGTTCTAGATCTTACCACAGAATTATTGAAATCACAATATCTGTAGATATTTTGTGAAGGAGGGAAGTTGTATTTTTATCAAGGTTTCTGGGGGATTTGTGTGCAGGTGGTGGGGTACCACACTTAAAGAAACGAATCCAATTTCCTAGAGTAAGTATATTATCACCTCTTGAACTACCAGTAGAGGGCATTGTTAATAAAAAGTTTGTTCACTAGTCAACAGGAGACTACTAAAACCCTTTAGACAATAGGCATTTAAGTAAAAATTAATAGAAGTTAATAATTATTTTGTTAAGTGTATATGAGGTCTTAAATTTTTTTTAATATACATCTTTATTGATTTCAGAAAGAGGAAGGGAGAGGGAGAGAGAGAGATAGAAACATCAATGATGAGAGAGTTATCGGCTGCTCCTGTAAGCCCCCAGCTGGGGATGGATCCCACAACCCAGGCATGTGCCCTGACCTAGAATCGAAACACAATCTCCTGCATCACAGGGTGATGCTCAACTGCTGAGCCACACCTGGCCAGGCTTAAATTTTTTTAAAGAAAGAGTCATGTTAAATCAAAATGAGTTCTGTTAAAACTTATTTTTGGCTGATTATGGGTGGATTTATCAGTAATACAACTTAAATTCATCATCAGCAAAATCCAATTTGTTGGTATTATCCAGGCATGTCACTGTATTAAATAAAATGAGAACAGCCAGAGCTATGAGGGTGAGAATGATCTGAAGTTGAATCCCAGCTCCATCCAGTTATTAGCTCTGTCACCTAAATAGGTTAATTAACCTTTTTGTATTTGTTTCCTAATCTATAATTTATAATAGTTACAGATATTAAAGGAGATAGCATTTGTTCAGTTCCTGGCACTGAGAAGATGCTGAATAAATGATACTATCCTCAGTAATGATGTTATAGTGATTCATAATAATATTTAAGTCTTGAATCAGTTCTTAGCTTTAGAATATATAAAATAAGTTTTAAAAATAATACTATAAACATTTTCATTTCATGTAATTTTTTCCAATTTTTTATTGTGATAAAATACACATACATAAAATTTATCATCTTTACCATTTTTAAGTGTACTTAAAAATGTATTAATGTGGTATTAAATACATTCATAATGTTGTGCAACCATTACTACCAGACATCTCCTTAACCCTTTTCATTTTGCATAACTGAAACTCTATTTTCCTTAAATAGTAACTCCTCATTTCCCCCTCTCCCCAGCCCCTGGCAGCCACTATTCTATTGTCTCATGATTTTGACTACTCTAGGTATATACATAAAAGAATTGAAAACAGTGTCTGAAAGATATTTGCATATTCATGTTCATAGCAGCAGTATTCACAATAGGTAAGCTGTGGGCACTACCCAAGTGTGCATCCACTGATAGGTAAGCAAAATTGGTACATACATACAATGGAATAGTATTCAGCCTTAAAAAAGCAGGAAATTCTGGTACATGCTACATCATGGATGAATCCTGAGGACATTATTATGCTAAATGAAATAAGCCATGTAATTACTTTTTAAACTTACCTTTAATTTTTTTCACACTCAAGAAACTTTTAGATATTATATTAATGTAAAACTTTGTCTTGCCAGCAGGGAACATAATTTACTCAGTTCTGTGGCATGTAAATTATGATTTATAAATATCCAAAAACATACTCTCTTTCCTTTGACCTTCTAGAATTAGATACTAAACTTGAATATTCTAGACTTGACTATTCCTGAGTCTGTGGCTTTATTTTTCCTTAATAGGAAAATAGTTTTATTTGAATTTTTGAAATCCTACTTAGAAGTTAGTTCATTTTAATGCATTATTTGCTTTTTAATTTTAGTCAGATTATTCTATTAACTTTTGTCTCTTTTTTAAAGATTGAGTGGCATAGTCTTTTTTTTCCTTAGAGATACATTGATGTTTATCTAGTATTAGATGAGATGGAAATGAAACTTGTTTAATTTAGATGAGCATGCTGCTTACTTAGTGTTAATTGTTCATATATAAATAGAGAACTCAAAGTGCTTATGCGGTTAAGAGTCAGGACTTACAATGAGTGTCAGCTGTGCTAACCTCTGTGGCTTTGAGAAAGATGAAACAACTACAGAGATTTAGTGTTCAAACATGCACAAAATAGTTTGCCAGAGCATTTGATAAAAAGGGAAATTAAAGAGCTTTTACATATAAATTTTCTTATTTTAAAAGAACTTTATTTCATTTGGTTTCATAAAATCACTTAAAAGCAAGAAGATGGGGCCCGGCCGGGCGTGGCTCAGCGGTTGAGTGTCGACCTAGGATCCAGGCCATCGGGGTTTGATTCCCGGTCAGGGCACATGCCCGGGTTGTGGGCTCGATCGGTGACTCTCTCATCATTGATGTTTCTATATCTCTCCATCTCCTTTCCTCTCTCTGAAATCAATAAAGATATATTTTTTAAAAATAATAATAAAATAAAAGCAAGAAGATGGTGGTGGTTATTCTTTTTATCACTGAGAAAGCGTGAGCTCCAGAGCAAACCCAAGAGAGGTTTGGACACCTACCACCTCTCAGTGTGATCTTGGCAAGGGCTTAACAACTCCGACCCTCGGTTTCTACACCGGAAAACTGCTTCTCAAAGCAGCCAGTATTTATTGACATATGCTAGGCATTATGCTAAACACTTTAGGTACATTACTGTACTTAGTTCATATGGCAATATTGCTTTCTCCTCATTTCACACATGAGGAGCTGAGGTGCAGAAAAGTAGGTGACTTGGTCAAGGTCACATAACTAAATTCAGGGTGTTAAAAGGAGTGTCAGACTTTGAGTAAGTGTTCAGTAAGATATGTATTATTGTTGATGTTAAAGTACATTCAGATCAGACTTGGTTTGTAAATAGTCTATGAGCTTCAGATTAAAGCCTACTTGAGATATCTGTTCCCCGACTCTAATTCCAAAATTCTAAAGTGAAATTTCAAAGATATTAACTTGAAGATACACAACTATGTCTCTTAATTTTCTTTTTTATTCTGTAGCTCTTAGAATAATATACATTTGAAAAAACAGTATGCATTTGATAAATACTTATTGATGGTTATGAATTTTACTTTAAAGGACAGATGTAGATATATAAATAAAAATAGCCATTTTCTGAAAAGTATTTCCTCTAAGGGCTAATTCTTTCATTCTGTTATTTTTTTTAAAAGTTGCCATCGAAGGCAATTTTAGGGTTTTCATTCAAAGAGTCTTTTGTCTTTATTCTGGTATAAGAAAAAAACAATGAGAAAGCTGTAGAGAAGGCTGACCTCTCAAGAATTTTTGTGTGGGGAATTACTAAGGCATGAAAGTCCATAAACCGTTTCTCTCCATTTTATTTTCTGTGTATTTCCAACAAGCTGTACTTCTGGTTAGTAAAAGTTGGCAACTTTTTTTATACCAGGCCAAATTCCATCCTCATAAACTCAGCGTTCTTAGGACATAATGAAGTCTAAATTCAACTCTAAATTGACTGTATTTTAATAGAGGTTGTTTAGTCTGTTTGTGGCTAAGTTTACCTCAAAACATTCTTTGAGGATAACAAGTTTTGTAACCAATCCCATAATGTATAGTTTAGTTCTAAGAAATAACATGGATAGATTTATTCTGATTATAACTAATATATCTGAATAATGTTGACATGCCAATAAACCTTTCTTCATTAGAATATAATTCTATGCTATTTTATCAAGTAATCAAGTGTTTACATTTGGAGAAAATAACTTCTTTCTTAGAAACTTAAAATTCTGGGGTTTCGTTATAGAAATAACTTGTACACTAGTTTGTTAAAAGTAGCAATTAAAAAGTGGAAAGAAGAGTCTCAAATGGACAAGAATGTGCTATTTTTCTTCTTTCATTATCTTCCTGTGCCGGATCAGGATTTTTTTCTTTCCTAGGCTTTTTAGAACTATGTTGCTTTGGTCTACTCTGAATCTTTATCTTTTTGTTCACTGTTGTTTCCAAGGGCCTAGAATAGTTCTTGACTCATAGTAGGTCTCGATTATTTGTTGAATGAAAGAATACAGGGGGTCTTGTTCTGGCTGGGCACTTCTAGTGTGCGTCTTGCTTACCACATACGTTGTGAGGGTTAGCCTTTATCCACTAGAGGTTGCCTCACCTACTAGACTGTGCCATAGAGTGCTATTTTTTATAGTTACAACTGTGCTTTTGTGGTGGTGAGAAGGAAAGCCCTTACAGACTGAGAAAACAGTGTAGTCCAGAAAGAGACAGAAAGTAGATTAGTGGTTGCCTGGAGCTGGGGTTGGACAGGTGAGAACAGAGAATGACTGCAAACCGGCAAGAGGGACCTTTTGTGGGTGAAGGAAGTGTTCTAAAATTGGGTTGTGGTGATTGCTGTACAGCTTGGTAACTTTATTAAATTAGTGAATTTTATGGTATGTGAGCTATACCTCAGTTAAACTGTTTCGAATAAAGCCAGGTTGGGAGTTTAAAATTTTTCCAATTATTTGCTAATTGGAAAACTAGGATGATGTAATTTTTTGGTTTCTTACTTTGGATATGACTTGTTGCTATAGATAAATGGCTGATTTTCCCAAAACCGGTTTTTCTGTAAAGCATTTCAGGATAGAGAAATGTTAATTTTATTTGCTAGTACTTTCTTTTGTGCTAATCAGCTTGGAATTTATAAGGCTCTTAATATAAAACGTCTTGTTTCATCTCATTCTCTTACCCTCTTTTTGGATATTTCCAAAGCTATAATAATGAATAGGTGTAAATTATTCTACTTTGCTGATAGTTTGTTTACACTAAGTCACAGGGTTAGATAGAACAAGCTGTAATTAGGAAATTACTTGTATTTTAAAATTACTTGTTGGCAAAAAACCTTTTTCCATGAAATGATATTCTTATTTTGATTTTTGTATATTCTTAAAGATATTCTGTGTCTCCTCCAAGGGAGTATAGCCCCTTTAAAAATTCAACTATATCCTGAAAAATTATTTATGAAAGCTCTCCCACAGTCTAATAAAGGCCAACTAGATTAAAGATATAATAAGGTTATTGAGATCAGTTAACTCTAACAGTATCAACAATAACTCTGACAATATCAAGCATTGGCAAGGATAAGAGGACCTACAGACATTACTTTTTGGTTTTTGGGTTTTTTCCTTTTTGAATTTTTATAAGATTTTATTCAAGCCAAACTGACCACATATGCTGGGATCCAGATCTCAAATGCTCCTAGAGATATTGTTGTAATTCAAGCACTCAGAATTTAAGAATCAGTTGAGGTGGCTTGATTTCTCATTAGTTAGATCTTTGTGCACTTACTCTGTGGCTTGAAACTATTAGATGATAATAGTTGTTGTTACTGTTATAATTAATATATAGTGCTTGCTGAATACCAGACACTGTCATAAAGGCTTTCTGTATAGTAGCTCATTTAATTCTCACAATAACCCTATGAAGTATGGACTATTACTTACCATCCTCATTTAACAGATAAGGAAAATTACACAAAACTCACCCAAGGTCACACAGCTCAATAAACCCAGACAGGCATGCTAATAACCGCTATACCATAATGAAAGACTGCTTTCCTTTTTTCCCCCCAAAAGAAAATAATTCTTCATCGTGAAAGAATTAAAAAATACTTAATATAAGAAAATGAGAATTAATACTTTACTGCTAGAAGGAGAAAAAGTTCTTCCATCCTCTTTATTTTTATTTTTTACTTTTTCCTTGTTTTCATTTGTTATTTTGTGTTTTTGTGTTATATACTGTATGTGTCTGACAGTTTAATCAGTTGTCAGTTGGATTGGTTGAACATTTCTGTGGGAGATCTTTAAGTTTTACCTGCAGCCTAAATGATACGGAATATAAATGCATGCACATTTCTATGTCTCTTTTGAGAAATCTGTACCATGTGAACTATAATTTCACAGAATGCTTATGGTTATTGATTAATTGATGTATCAGTGTAAATGAAAATATTTTAATAAGTTGATCTCTATTAAATTAAGTTCATGGTTTTAAAATTTTTAATTGATAAAAACTAAAAAAGGTTGTAAACATTCTAGTAAGATTATTATACAACAAGTTCTCTCTCACACTATGGATATGTTTTGAAGAAAATTTCAGGTACTATTTTTTTCATTAATTCATTCCTCTTCCTTTGTTTTTATTATATTTTATTTTTTTAGGATTTTGGCCCCCAATAGTAATTATCAAGATGTTGAGACTCTCTATAACTTCCTAATCAAACATGAGGTATGAACAATATTTTTAAATGTTTATATTTCCACCATAAGCAAATTTTAATATAAATTAACATAGTAGAGTTCTAAAACATAATGGAATGCTATCTAATTGATGTTTATTTTAAATTCTTGAGTGCCACAGAAGTTTACCAGTGACATAATCAGTTTGTTTTTTTGTTCTCTAAGTAAAAACATACAGTAGAATCCTATAATATGACACTTTCTACAACTCAGAATTGTATGTCATCAGGGATGCTGTTGGCATTTTTGACAGGTTATTATGTCATTGTGTGGAACTTTGCATGTTGTTTAACATTCCTGCTCCTCAGATACTATGTGTCAGTAGTTTCCCCAATGGTTGTGACAACCAAAGATATCCCAGCACCCCACCCAGCTCACCTCCATAGATGGCCTCTGGGAAGGAAGAACCACCTCTGGTTGAGAACCACTGATACTGAAAAGGAAAGCTCAGATTTAATTTCCTTTATAGCAGCAGCACAGGCCCTGGAGTTAGGGCTGTGGTGAGGCTCCAGCGTATTTTATAAGTTAACCTACATGCTTTCCTCTTCCTTGCTGATCCAAGGAAAGTATTCTGTTGATCTTTAGTTTCTGTTTGCCTAAAGCTCTTTGCACACGCTCCCATTCTTGCTTTTTAAGTGTGTGTGTTTGTTTAATTTTTAAAATGCGCTACTCGAAGGAATATGATGAATTTCTAGATTTTTCCCTACACGTAAGTAAAATACAACTTACATCAGTAGTAAAGCCTTGAGACACAGAATTGCTTCAACATGTGCACTACATGTGTGCCGCCACTGGCTGTTGTATGATAAAGGACTTTTAGTATTGTATATTGCATCTGGATTATAATACATATTTATGAACTTAAACATGCTAGTTTAAATATTTAGACCTCAATAGTCTGAAAAATACTTTTCTTTAGAAAATGCCTATAAATCAAACTTTTTATAAACAGACGTTTCCACATAGTTTATAATTTTTGTATTTAAATGAAAGTGAAGGTTATTCAGTAATAACTTTTGGAAGGGTCAGCATAGTATTCAAGTGCTGTTAGAGTCGAATACTTGACTTTTTCTTCAGTGTGAATTATTTCTGATGTTCAGATATAAACAAGATGCGGCTGTTTCTGCTTATACTAGTCTACCTATGTGACCCCAAATCCACTTCAGCCCTTTAAGTTTTTAGTATTTAAAGTGTTTTTAATACAATTTACTTACTTTTCCTAGAAAATAAATATTGAAAATCAGAAACATTTCAAGAGGCTAGGCTAACTGCAGCATGACTGTTTCATGAAGTACATTTTTTTGTCCATTTGATATACAGAGCAGTTGTTTGTTGAGATTTTCACTAACCCCAGGCCCATCTTACTCCTGGTTCTAGGAACAGATTAGGTTGAAACAATAGGACTGATATTTTTATGCATAGTTCAGTGTTAGCATTATGGTCACTGAACTTCTGATTCTTACTATTCTGTTCTCTTTGCAAAAACTAGAAACTTGACATTCTACTTCCTCAGAATATGGGCCACTCTAATGGTGCTCTTACTACTCGTTTGATTTAATATGCATTTTTAATAACTACATCTTCATTCATTTCAGGTAAATAAAAGCGTCAAATTTACTGCCCAGGAACTTTATGATTGCGTTTCACAGACTGAGTATCGGTAAGTCATATCTATATATAGATATACTGGTGGTGAAGGGTTGTTTTTTTTATTACTTTGTTTTATGTCTTTACTACACTATGATTTTTTCCTTTATTAGTATAAAATATTTCATACATATGAAAGGGCTGTGTGTGAGAGAGTGTGTGTGTGTGTGTGTGTGTGTGTGTGTGTGTGTGTGTATTACAGGTATGAGGTTTAAAGTGGTTCTCAAAATTTTTCGCCTCAGGACTCCTTTATATTTTAAAAAGTTATTGAAGTCCTGGCCAGGTAGCTCAGTTGATTAGAGCATTGTCCTGATGTACACCAAGGTTGTGGGTTCAATCCTGGGTCAGGGCACATACAAGTTATCAACCAATGAATGCATAAATAAGTGGAAACAAATCAATGTCTCCTCTCTCTCTCCTCCTCCCTCCCTTTTTCCTCCCTCTCGCTCTAAAATCAATAAATAAAAATTTTAAAAAAAGTTATAGACCCCCAAAGAGCTTTCATTTATGTGGGTCATATCTATCTGTATTTACTCTGAGATTGGAATTGATAAATTTAAAATATTTATTTTAAAATAATAGTAGCTAATTAATTACATGTTAAGATAAGTAGCATAGAATTATGAAAAGCATTTTTCCCAAACAAAAAATATTACTGACGAGAGTAGCATTGTACACATTTTTGCAAACCTCTTCATGCCTGACTTAATAGAATAAAGCTGGGTTCTCAAAGCTGTTGCATTTATTCTGTTTCCATAATCACATCATGTATCACTGGAGAACTGTGTATTCTTGCAAGAGTGAGAATGCAAAAGGCAAATCATGTCTCAGTCTTGTTAAGAAAATACCTTTGACCTCTTTGACCTCTCAGACCTTTTGAAAGAGGCTTACATTCCCCAGACCATGCAGGATCAGTGACTAAGTTAACTATCAAGGTACTTCCGTTAAAACTTTTAATTGATAAATTTATTTGATGATCAAGACACTGGGATTGATATTAAGCAACACAGCTATATATAAATATATAAAGTTCACTATATATTTATATATATAAAGTTCACTATATATATATATATATATATATATATAAAGTCCACTCATTAGATTCAAATAAATTTTCCAAGAAAACCTGAAGCCAGTAGACATGCATAATGTAGCTGGGAGAGAGAATGGTTTTTACTGTAATCTTCAGACTATGAATTAATCAATTATACGCTTTTTAAAAATATGTTTTTATTGATTTCAGAGAGAGGAAGGGAGAGAGAGAGAGAGAGAGAGAAACATAAATGATGAGAGAGAGTCATTGATCAGCTGCCTCCTGCATGTCCCCTACTGGGGATTGAGCCCACAACCTGGGCATGTGCCCTGACCAGGAATCAAACCGTGACCTCCTGGTTCATAGGTCGATGCTCAACCACTGAGCCATGCCAGCTGGGCAATTAGTTATACTCTTATTTATAGATCTTTACAGCCAATTTACATGTAAAGGTTGTGTGTACATGAGATTTGTGTCAGAATATAATGTCTATCACAGTATGGATGGACCTGGAGAATATTATGCGAAGTGAAATAAGCCAGGCAGCGAAAGACAAATACCACATGATCTCACTTATACATGGAATCTAAAGAACTTAATAAACTGATGAACAGAATAGATTCAGTGACATGGGAGCATAGATGTGACTGACGAATGTCAGAGGGATGGAAGAGGGTGGGTGGGTGGAGGGGGAGAGAGTAACCAAAGAATTTATATGCATATATGCACAGCCCAAGGACACGGACAATGATGGGGAGAGGGACTGGGGAGGGGGAAGGTACGGGGTGGAACGGGTCATTGGGAAGAAAAAGGGACATCTGTAATATTTTAAACAAAACAAAAAACAAACAAAAAAAGAATATAATGTCTATCAACCTTAGCCATACTTTTAAAGGTGTAGAAAGCCTACTGTAGATAACTTGGAGGCCGGAGTCCCTTGCAGGATGGTTCCATCAGATGTCTAAAATTATTTTAACTTCACTTCACTGTTGGAATGGTTGGAAGAGTTTTTTTTTGGAGGGTGTGGTGAGAGGTAGGGAGGGTATAGGGATCAAAGTTGAATGTTCAAAGTTAAAGCACTTGTACCTGTTTTTCTCTAATTTGTCTTCTTTCCACTTACAATACCAGGGATTTGAACTATGATATTAATAAGCTTCCTCTTATACCCAAAAGGATGATTTTGAAATCACTTATATTAATATCTTGAATGCATTGAAAAATGGCAATTGCTCTTCAGCAGGCTTTTGATTAATAGCTTTTAGATTTGTTACTCTTCTGTTTGTTTTGAAATTATTTGCCCTATTTATCTCCCATATTAGCCTCTGGTATAGTCCACAGCTCAGTTTTCAAATAAGCTGCCAAGAGACATTCTTGTGGTGTCAGTGGTTCATATTAGACATGAGGCTAAGTGCAACGGGTGGAAGGGGCCAAGTTTTCCTGTGGCTCAGAGATGAAACAGAAGAGGGGTTTCACTTACAGATGTAGTTGGCCACCTTTAGGAATGCTAAGAAAAGCAATTACTTAAAATGTCTGGATTTCCTGTTCTTTGTTTTTTAATACGAACTGCTAGTTGTGAGGAAAGAGACTGTTGATATGCCCAGCATCATATTTATTGCAATAGGGATGTAATTAAATAGCTGAAGAACATAAAACTATTTTATAGGTTCTGATAAAGCAAAGAATTGAGGTTTCAGAATGAAAGTAGCTATGATCCCAAATTGAATTCCATGACACTGGAGGACCTCTGTGTTCACTATCTATAAACCAGTTAGTGTTTCCATCTTCTCTAGTTTGTAGACTCTTTGATGTTGCTTTTACTCTTGCCAGTATGGTCTGTCTGTGCACTGTTTACCCTGAGCAAATGAGGAGTTTGCTCAGAAAATCCAGGATGGTAAATTAATGAGATTATCAAATAGATTACCAAATATATATCTTGTGTGGTGTCTTTTGTGTGCATGAGAAATAAGTTAGGAGTATTTAATTCACTTTGTCTGCCGTGTAAATTCTTGACAGACTGTTCTGGAATGTTTGCAAGGCAAATCCCTAAAGTCAGTCTTTCTAAATGAAATGCTAACTAGTTTGTGGCATCAGCCTCCTAAAGCACTGGTATATCCAAACAATATACTGTGTAAGATGGCTTATGTATTAGAAGCTTTCTTTTGCTGTGCTAGTGCTTTCAGGAATGACTGCTTTCCAGCTCCAGGAATCAGCTCCCTGATAGTGTTTTCAGTATTACCTTAGAGCTGTGGTTCTCTTAACTGTGGGTCCAGGACCTGAGTGTCAACATCACCTGGGAACTTGCAAGACTTTCAAACTCTGAGGCTCTACTCCAGACCTCCTGAATCAGAAACTCTGGGGGTGGAGCCCAGTCATCTGTGTGACAGTCCCTCCAGGGCACGCTCAAGTTTGAGAACCCCTGTGTTAAATTATTGACCTGGTCTGTCCAAGAAGCCTTAGACAGAAAAGGCCTTAGAAAATAATTTAGAAATCAAATTTAGACCTTTGATGTTTTTGTCTTAATTAGAAAAGAATTACATTATTTTTGTGTCTATAGATGCAATAATACTTTGCAGTAAGTTTGACCTTATTATTTGTGATAGAAGATAATACAAAAGAATATACTTTTTTCTTTTTTTGAGGTAAAATTCACATAACAAAATTAACAATAACCATTTTAAAGTGTACAGTTCAGTGGCATTGAGAGCATTCATTCAGTTGTGCAACCATCACCTCTCTCCAGTTCCAAGACATTTCCATCACCCCAGTAGGAAATTCCATACCCATTAAGTAGTCATTCTCTGTTCTCCCCTCCTGGCCCCAGTCCCTAGCAACCACTAATCTGCTTTCTGTCTCTATGGATTTATTCATTCTGGGTGTTTCTTGTAAGTTGAATCAAACAACTTATGACCTTTTATATCTGGTTTTATTCACTTAGCATGATGTTCTTAAGATGCATCTCATTGTAGCATATCAGCACTTCATTCCTTTTAAAGGCCGAATAGTATTCCATTGTATGTATGTACCACAGCTTGTTTATCCATTCATCCGTTGTTGGACATTTGGATTGTTTCCACTTTGGGGCTAGTGTGAATAGTGTTGCCTTTGGTTTACAAGTATTTATTTGAATTCTTTCAATTCTTTACAATTTTGGGGAGGGGACGTGTATACCTGAGAGAGAGGTCCTGGGTCAGATGGTAATCCTGTGTTTAACTTTTGAGGAATTGCCTGTTTTCCACAGCAGCTGCACTATTTCACCTTCCCACCAGCAATATACAAGGGTTCTAATTTCTCTACTCCTTCATTAAAATTTTCAGTTTTTTATTATTGCTATTTTAATGAATGTGGAGCTTTATCTCATTGTGATTTTGTATTTCCTTAATTACCAGTGACGTTGAGCATCTTTTCATGTGCTTGTTGGCCATTTCTGTCTTCTTTGGAGAAATATCTATTCAAGCCCTTTGCCCATTGTTAATTGGGTTATTTTTCTTTCTGTTGTTGAATTATAGGAATTCTTTATGAGAAATCTGGCTCCAGGCCAAAATCTTATGTGTGATCTTTCAGGCCTGACCACTGGCTTTATCTGGCAGGCTCCATTGGAGAAAGCTGCCTTCCCCATACCAGGCTCAGTACACAGCTAATGAATCGTAGCCTTCTGGGGGCTGTGCTCAGGCCCCCTGCCCCTGGGCAGCCATGCTCACATTCATCCTTGCGTTACAAGTCCAGGCAACTTCATTTGGAGGCCTCCTTTTGGGGGCTTTGGCTGAGGCACCTCTGCTGAGACCTTTCTGGAGGCCTTGGCTAAAGTATTTTTCTCCACTCTGACTCAGTGCTTTTCTGCACTTGGCTCTTCTTTGCTGTGGTCTGAATGTTTATGTCCCCCTCCCCCCCCCAAATTTATATGTTAAAATCCTATTGCCCAAGGTGATGATCTCAGAAGGTGGAGTCTTTGGGAGGCGATTAGGTCCTGATGGTGGAACCCTCATAAATGGGATTAGCGCTCTTATAAAAGAGGGCTCTCACCAGAATGTAGCTATGATGGTACCTTGATCTTGGACTTCCCAGCCTCCAGAACTGTGAAAAGTAAATTTGTTGTTTATTGCCTACCCAATCTATGATATTTTGCTATGGCAGGCTGAATGGACTAAGACACCCTCAGCCATTCGGGTCCATGAAGAGGCAGGAGCCTTAATTTGGGGCTCCTCATTAGTGAGATGATGCCCCCTCTCTGCACTGCACATTGTCTGACCCTTGCCTGGCATCATTCTGTGGGGAAAATGGAGCATTAGGGAGCTGGCACCTTTCATTTGGCCTCTTGCTTGCAGCCTCGCAGTAAATGAATCCAGTCTTGACTGTTAACTTTCAGTTTGGCTTGTTGACTGTCAACCACCTTGGCACCTGACAGCTTGACATATATGTTCTGGATATTAGACCCTTATCAGATATATTAATTTGCAGGTATTTTCTCCCATTGTGTAAGTTGTCTTTTCACTTTGTCGATAGTATTCTTGATACACAAAAAGTTTCAAATTTTTTTTGAGAGATTTATTTTTAATACTATTTCATGTTATGCTTTACCCCAAAATAACATTTCCAGATAAGAATCCAGACAAAATATCAGACACACAAAAGAGAACAAGAATCTTTGAACTAAACCATTCAAAGTTGTGTAGATGTCAACCTGAACAGGTGCTCGGGGCAGAGCACCGGGGTGGTAGAAAGGAAATATCCTACACTCACCTCATCAGAATTGAATTATATCAAAAGTGTTCCTGGGTTATTTGCATTTTTGCCTTAAAATGTGAATTTTCTACTGTCCCAAAAGGACAAAACAGAATTTTTTTCCAAACAATATTCAAGTTTATTAAACAAATTTTAAAAGTATTATAAAATGTTTAGCTTTCATGAGCTTCAGGGCTTATGTTGCTTTGCATAGAGCTGAACTTTCAATTCTGCTAACACCTGCTGAATGGATACCACTCTGGATTCTAAGACGTCAATTTCTTCTTGCAAATTTTTCTTTGCTTCTTCTAACATTTCTTGTGTTTCTTCTTGAGAATGGCTAATGAAAACATTGCTGATTTGATAAGGTATCATTAAGCAGTCTTCATCTGCGAGTATGATGTCCTCGCAAGCATCTTCTAAGTTTTGGAGTTTTCTTTTTTACGTCTATTTTTTCCTTCAGCTCTGTGATCGTACGTGTATTCCATGCAAATTTGTTAATCTCTGTTGGTCTTCAAAAGTAACACTGACATTTTCTGCAGCCTCCATTGAGATACTTCCTCTGACTTGGCTCCCTAGCCACTTGGGATAGACTCGTGGGAGGTGAAATCAGTGCGATCCAAAACAGAATTTTTGCTGGGCAATTTACATACATAATTCTTGCATTTTTATTGTTTACTTAAAAATTTTTACTTTTCAATTTCAGTTGAAAAAGTTTTAATTTTGATAATATCTAATTTGTTTTTTCTTTCATTGCTTGGGCTTTGGATGTCACATCTAAGAATCCATTGCCAAAGCTAAAGTCATGAATATTTACTCCAAATATTTTTCTAATTATTTTATAGTTTTAGCTTTAACAGGTCATTAATCCATTTTGAGTTAATTTTTGTATATGTTCTGAGGTACAGGTCCAACAGGTCCAACTTCATTAATTTGCCATGTGGATATCAAATTGTCCTAGCACCGTTTATTGAAGAAACTACTCTTTTCCCATTGAGTGGTCTTGGTACCCTTGTCGAAAATCAATTGATCATGTATGTGAGGGTTTATTTCTGGACTTTCAGTTTCATTGGTCTGTATGTCTATCTTTATGCCAATTCCACACTGTTTTGATTAAAGTTGCTTTGGGGTAGTTTTCAAAATTGGGAAGTGTGTTCTCTAACATTTTTCTTTTTCAAGATTTGACTATTTGTGGCCCTTTAAATTCTATGTGAATTTCGGGATCAGTTTTTCCATTCCTGCAAAAAAAATTGTTAGGATTTTGATAGGGATTGTGTTAAAGTATGTAGATTGCTTTGGGGAATATTATCATTGTATTAAGTTTTCCAGTCTATGAACATGAGATGCCACTAATTTGGGTCTTAATTTCTTTTGGCAGTGTTTTATAGTTTTTATTGTACAAGTCTGTGCTTCTTTGCTTAAGTTTATTCCTAAGTTGTTTAATTTTTTTCATGTTATTGTAAATGGAATGTTTCATGCTATTATTTCCTTTTCAAATTGTGTATTGTTAATGTATAGAAATGCAACTGATTTATGTGTTGATTTTTTATCTTGCAGTGTTGCTGAAATGGTTTATTAACTCTAACAGTTCTTTTGTAGATTTTTTAGGATCTTTAGAGACCATTTTACTCCTTTATTTATAATTTGTATGCCTCTTGTGTGTGTGTGTGTGTGTGTGTGTGTGTGTGTAATTATTCTGTATAGAGCTTCCCTAGTATAGTATCGAATAGAAGAGGTAAACTTGGGCATCCTTGTCTTGATCCTGATCTTAGGGGGAAAGCTTTTAGTCTTTTACCATTGAGTATGAAGTTAACTATTATATACTGTTTTTATATTATGATTACATTGTATTCAATTTTTCTTTCATTTGATATACATATTTCAAATGTATACAGATGTTCAGAGAATTATAAAACAAATATCCATTGTAGACTTTCTTCTTTGTACCTAGAAAGAACTTTGGAAAAACTGCATCAAAAATTGAAATTAGGTCACTTAAATTCACTACCATCATTCTGTTTGGACAAAATTAGCCAGAGTAAATCAAATACTTGATGGAAGATTTTTTTTTATTGATTTGATAAAATTTCCGGTTATTTTGACCTATCTGAGATTTGGTCAAGCAAGTTTGATACCCATAATAGGACAATTTAGAGAAACAGTGGCAGTTTTACAGAAATCTCATGAGCAACATAGAATTACAGAACTAGAAGCAACCTCCAGGTTTGACCTCTGTTCCAGAAAGGATTAGGAGTTGGGATTGTTGAGTTTAAAAACAGAAATAGGATCACTATACGAGACCAAGTATTTTATACTATTGAAAAAGGGGATCACAACTTTCTGTTTCGTTTTAACTTAGGAAGACTTGGGTCAGACAGATGGTTTTTTTAGGCCCAATGTAAAGGAATAACTTTTGAGCAATTAAGAGATATCAAAATATGTAATGGGCTGCCTCTCACAGATGCGTCTGGTGATATGACTCACTGCAGAATGGCAGGCACTGGTGTTTAGGTAACCCCACATTTAATATTCTGCCATCCTACATCTGAGCCATAGGCAAAAGAAACTTGAGAATTCCTATCATCATAATCTAGTATAGACCAAATATATAAGATGAAAAACACGTGATACTTTCTTCAATCAGCAATGACAACTTGCTGCAGGAAACAGAACCTGTAGGTAATCTGTTGCCAGAACAGACTCACACAAATAAACCAGATGCCACTAGGCTGAAAAGAGGAGAGAGAGTTCACCTCTTAAATGTGGGGAGGAAAAAGAAGAAAAGACAAGACAGAAATAGGTCAAAGTCTGGTTACTAAAGGACATTTTTCATAGGTGGCATAAATAACCAGGAACAGGAATAGGGACCCGATTCATTTTTAAATTAGAATAAAACGTCTCTCTCATTTTAGACCTCTTAGGGTCTTCCGAAAATCATTTCCTGAGTAGTTGTGCAAAATTGGCAGCAACGTAACACTCATTCTAAGTGATCTAAATGCAGAAAGTAGGACTAGAGGAGCACAAAGCCAAAGGCAGGTTTTGGTCTGCTTCACAGAAACCACACATCCAGGAATTGAGGCCAAAGTATCGTGTGTTTCCTTGGCTGTCATCTCTCCCCTCATCCTATTCCGAGTTCTCAATGACTTCATTTTCCTTCATGCCCTACATCAAGGTGTCCATGGGGAAGTGGTGCAGCGCGGAGAGGTAGCTAGTGATCTTAATGCCAAGGACGTAGTAACTGTCACTTCTTGAACACCTAATGTGTCAGACGCTGTCCTAGAAGCTGTACGTTCTTTATGAACTTATATAGACAATCTCCCAGTAGATTTAAATAGGTCTCAATGGGATCTGGACTCTAGATACTTGAGAGTCCAGGTAGGCTTCATGTTAGGTGAAATTGTCCATAGGCATGGCATATATTAGACATTACTCCCTGCTTCCACCTCTGGTTTAGAGTAATTAATATCTGTTTGCTAACTGCTAGATAACCTACTTCAGCAGTTTTAAGAGCTGAAGCTCTGTCAGCTTCCTGTCCCCTCTCTAGTGTCTGTTCCTAGCAGGAGGCTCATTCTATTAGTATCCTCCAGTCTACCTGTTCTTTAACTCCCAAGCCAAACAACACAAAAATATGTGATCTACGCCCCCCCCCATCCCGCCTTGCTCACCCCTCAGATTGGAACATGTTAACATCAGCCAGCTCCTGGGAGAGGTCCTTCAGAAACTGTAGAGGACTGTTTTTAAGCATTCAACTTCGATTGTGGCCAGCAGGTCTGCAGTGAGAACCCTTGTTCCTGAATTCTAGGAATTGCGTCAAGATCACGTCGATTGAGACCTGCTCTACTAAGTGCTTATCCTGCCACGTTTTGTCTGTGCTAAGAAACTAACTCTTGGTATTTCTCTCTCTCAAATATCAAAGAATATTATTTCAGATCTGTGGTATCCTGTTGTATGAAGTTTTTTCATTTATCTGACCAGCTCTTGCCATGGTTTAACATTTCTTTATCCCCCAGGGAAAAGTTAACCATCGGCTGCCGCCAGCTGGTTGAGATGGAGTTTGCCATGCAGCAGTGCAACGCATCTGTGTATATGGAGGCCAAGAACAGGGGGTGGAGTGAAGACATGCTCAACGATACGACCTAAGTCTGATTGGTAACCTGAAAGGATTGCATTTGTTCTCAAGAACAGCAGAGAAGCTTTCAACCTTTGAGCCAAACCCAAGAGACTTGTAGGAATTGTCTCATTTGTATAAAAGGTGATTGCTTATTACTGACAGTCTCATTGAGGTTCTCTAAAAAGCCTAATGCATCCGTTGTGGAATAAACTGTGAACTCAACTCTCCTGAAGTTGACAATACCTTCCTACCTCTACTCCTGATACTGAGACAGAATGTTTAAGGAAAGGAGAGCCGCTTTTTTAGTCACCTTAGGGCAAGGAGCCACTGTGGCCCCTGAGGAAGGCACAGCATTAGCGTCTCTCTCAACTCTGAACATGGTTACGTGATCGCGACACTTCCAGACTCCAAGAAATAATTAGGACATGATCACATTCCACAAGTGAAATTTTACCCTGGGCTGTTTTATGATCAGTGTCTTCCATGTAGACCTGGTGAATGTAATGCACATCTCTTCCACTTTCCCATGGTATTAAAAATGAATTTTTACTTCTGCTCCAACTTGCAATAGCAGCCTTTCTTCTGCCTGAGGCTTGTCACCTTCCAGTGTATGTCTAGTGGGAAGAGCAGGGAGACCCCCTGTGCTGTTTCCCCTTACATGGGAAGCAGCATGAACGTATGGGACTGGGTGGCAGTAACCGACGCTTGCCTCTAGCTAAACCAAGTGTTTGACTTCTTTAGTTATACAGCGAGTTGGAAGTCCTTGTTTACTAGAATATACTGTGCTTTTGTTAATACATTAGATTAAATCTAATTTGGTATTATGTTAATTTATTTTTTTAAAGGGCAATAAATTATTTTTAGTAAGATTTAACTTTTCATTTTACTCTCAAATTGTATTTCTGAACTGTGTATAAGGTATGATTATAAAAGAGAACCTACTCAGGATGTTCACTAGCAGTCTGTGCAAGACCCACTGAGCTTTATGTTTGCACACAAAGCCACACCTCCACCTGGGGCTCCAAGTGCTGTCTGCTTTGAATCAGGGGGAAGCAGCAGCTCTGCTCTCGCCTCTTTCCTTTTCCTCCCTGAGGAGCCAGAACATCCCTCTGTGGACCCGAGTTTTCTTCAGGTCCTTATCCCTCAGCTGCTTCTGGTTATTACTATTGGGTTTCAACTCTGCTTTGTTAGTTCCCTCTTTCTGTCCTGTCTTTTTAATATATGTGTGCATTTCCAAACATTCTTCACTCCTGTTACCTGCTTGCTTCCTATTTCACCCTTAGTTATGTGCATTTTAATTTGTCTATATGTCTATTTTTGCATTAGTCAATTATTTCAACATTTGTTAAATTTTATTGATACGTGAAAGTGTTTTCTTCTGATGTTAGTCTTTTTAATTTTGTTTCAGAAATACTCTTTTAAACTTTTTAAGTTTTTGTTTCTTTGAAATGTCAGGGTTTTTTCTCTCTCCCTTCCTTGTTGATGTCTTTTCTAATCTTTAATTTTTATTATACTAAGTCTAATAATCATCTGTCACTGTGCACTTACCACAATATTATTGACTGTGTTCCCCTTCACCTTTCAGTCATCCCCCACTCCCCTCCACCTGGCAACCATCGGTATTATCTGTTTCTATGAGTCTGTTTTTGTTTTGTTTTTTTAGATTCCACATATAAGTGAAACCTTATAGTATTTTCTTTCTCTGTCTGACTTATTTTACTTGGCATAATACCCTCTAGGTCCATCCATGTTGTCACAAATGACAAGATTTCATTCTTTTTTATTTCTGAGTAATATTCCATTTATTTTTGCTTTGGTTTCCCTTGCTTGAGGGGACATATCCATAAAGATATAACTGAGGCTGATGTCACATATTTACTGTGTTGTCTTCTAGGAGCTTTATGGTTTCAGGTCTTACCTTTTAGTCTTTAATCCACTTTTATTTTTGTATATGGCATAAGAAAGTGGTCCAGTTTCATATTTTTTTGTATCTATCCGGTTTCCCCAGCACCACTTTTTGAAGAGGCTGTTTCCTCATTGTATATTCTTTCCTCCTTTGTCATAGATTAGTAAGGGTTTATTTCGGGCTGTTCTGTTCTACTGACTAGGTGTCTATACTGTAGCTTTGTAGTAGTCTGAGATCAGGGAGTGTGGTACAACTTTTTCTTGCTCAAGGTTATTTTGGCTATTCGAGGTCTTTTGTGAGTCTGTAGAAATTTTAGGATTATTTGTAGTAGTTCTGAGAATGCCATTGGTTTTGATAGGGATTGCATTGACTGCAGATTGCTTTTGTGCATTTGTTTTGATGGAAGAATTATCAGATCCTTGGAAAGCAATTTCAGATTTTAAAATCCCTATTCTTTGATATGTATGGCTGATATATTTTGAGCACAAGCCATCATAAGTATGCCATGAACCAGAGTGGACTGATGGGGAATGTCACACCAGGGCAAGGGCTGTCTACATTGTGCCCTCGACTTTGCCTTAGTGAGGAGCTGGTGGTAACTTCATGAGGCTTCCTTGAAGATTATTGCATCCGAGTTCCTGGCACCATTTTACTGGCCTTTTCCAACTGCCTTTTCCAGAATGCTATAAATGGAGCTGTTCGAGGCGGGCTTTCCAGTCAGCATGCTTCTGCAGTGTGTCCGTGTGTTACCAGTACTCCAGTCAGTTCCTATACCTGAGTAGTAGTCTAGTGTATGGGTGGAATCGATTCCTTCGCCAGTTGGATGTTTCAGATTTTGGCAAGCTGCTATGTTCACACACAGGTTTCTGTGCAAATGTGTTTTCTTTGCACTTGGATAAACAGCTAGGAATGGGATTACTGTGTCATAGGGTATTTTTCTAAGAAACAGCCAAACTTTTCCAAAGTGTCCTTACAGTTTTCTGATTCCTCCAGGAATTTGAGAGTTCTAGTTACTCTGCACCCTAACCAGAATTTGGTGTTATTCAGTTTGAATAGATGTGTCACGTTTTTGCTTTTTCCTTTTTCCTAATGATTTGTGCATTTTTTCATGTTTATTGGAACCTATTTATCTTCTTTGAAGTGTCAATTCAAATCTTTTGCCCATTTTAAAATTGTTTTAAGTTCTGGATTCAAATCCTTTATCAGATGGTTTTTTCCAAGCCTCTACCTTCAAAGACTTGGTACTACTTTTGGTTTCGACAACACTAGCTTAATGTAGAGGGTGGACCTTTTCATGACTTGCAAAGTAGCCTTTGGTAGATGCCTTCCAGTTATTGACATAGCAACCCTATTCTTAAACTGCTGGATATTTCACTTTATCTCATTTCATTCAAGTTTGGTATCCTGTTTTTTTCCGGGCTGAAATTATATTACTCCCCTTGCCACCTATTCAAACATATGCCCTTTTTAGATTCTAGTTCCATAAGACGTCAACCCTGTACATACCCAGTTTGATAACTGAGCTTTTGCTTCTCTTACTCAACCTCCAGTAAGTTATGAAGCTATTAATAGGAAAGCTTAACTATTTTGTTGGCCATTGTTGCTAGTAGGTTGAAGAATCCGTGACACGCATGAGTACATTCCTCTTTATAAACTCTACTTGTTGCTCAATGTATCATTTTAAGACACTTGAGACTTCCAGATGGATTATGAAGGAAATTAGTGCTTCACTGTGATTCCTTTTTAACCTACAGATGGTTTAATGGTTTTTCTTGATTTTTAAAAATTGGGTAATTTGACAGGTAACATTGTGAAAGTTTAAGGTAGTGTTGTTTACATTTATATATTGTACTGATTGCTGTGTAGTGATATTTATCACATTATGTAATTTATATTGTCCATATTCATTATACTGTGCATTAGATCTTTACAGCTTATTTACTTGTTGCCAAGTTTGTATCCTTAAACATAGTATCACTCTTACCCGGGCCCTCCCCAGTCCCCTGCTAACCACCATTTTCTCGTTTACAAGTTTAACTTTTTTAGGTTCCACATGTAAGTGCTATCATACAGTGTTTGTCTTTCTCTGACTTATCTTGCTTAACAAAATGTGCTCAAGGTCCATCTTTGTTGTAGCAAACGGAAGGATATCCTTTCTCATGGGTGATTTAACTTATTTAACAGGTCTCTTGTTTATGGGACCAAATTTGTGGCTTGGCCTTATTAAGATTCATATGTTGGTGTTTCCTTGCTTTTCTTTCTGTTTTACACCCAATTAATTTACGTTGTATCTTATGTCTCAGTGAAAGACTTCAGATCCTTTTCTGGAACAAAGTAGGAAACAAATAAATGCCTGACACTAGAGAAGACTGTGACTCATACTTTTCTAAAGGCAATTCTGGAGTTGCAAAAATATCCAAATTGGACTTTCTCCTTTGCCTACTTCAATTTTAAGTTAAGAACTCTGAGGTCCAGAGAGATTATAGGTATTAAGCAGGAATTCTAGCACTATATTATCACATTCCCAAATCCAGGGGCTTCCCCCACCAGAATATGACTATGTAAGAAATTCTGAAACAAGTTGAGTAATGGTAAAGCTTGTATGGCACACAAGCCCAAAATCAAAATGCCCCATCTTGAAGGTCACACAAAAAAATTATGCCTGAGGTATAACCGATTGTTTTGTTAATTCAAACAGGTATTTTATAGTTTGCTACTGTGTTAGGGACCTAGTATATTTTATGCATTATGACAACCAACTGCAAGCATGGTTATCTCATCAGTATTACAGTGGTACCTGTTTTCGAATGTACTCCGTTCCGAAGACCATTCAAGTTCTGAAATGTTCGAAAACCGAGGGATCAACAGCTGACAGCTGGGCCTCAGGATCTTGCCCTCAGCAGAGGCTGCGTGGCATGTTCGACTTCCAACTCGTGTTCGGAAACTGAAGCATTTCCTTCTGGGTTTACAGTGTTGGAAAGCCGAAATGTTCGCCAATGGAGACATTCGAAAACCGAGGTACCACTGTATTTCTAAATTGCTCCCAAAGCCATACTGGTGGGGAAAAAATTTAATTACACTTGAGGCCATGCCACATTTTCTCATTCCCTCAAGAAAAATGTACCTTTTGGATACGGAAAAACAGTAACAACTCGTTACTGAGGATTGCCCCCCACCCCCTTAGGGAAGCTTCTTATATTTTAGCCACCAGAATACCTGTTTGGCATCAGTGGTAATAGAGGAAAACTTTGCCCCAAAGTAATCTCCCATGTTATTTGCATTTAAGTGTTACTTAGGAACTGAGAAGTAATTTCAGGGATTTAACTGCTGAATCCCCAACTAAAAGCTAATTTCTTGTATTAAACAGAACATATACAGAGCCACTAAAAAAAGAAGTTATATTAGGTTCAAATTTGATAACCTAGTTTTAGCCCAGAACCAGCAACAGATGTTCGGGAACTAGCCTCCAGGGAACTCCCTGCCTTTCCTGGAGGTGGTTTGTGAGATAAGGTGTCAAAGTGCCGGAGGAGCGGAGAGGGCAGCCCTCATTCTCTTCTGGGCCCAGGTTCCTCATGGGTAGCCCTTGTCCCAGCCGGCTCAATCGATTCCTGTGTTGCTGTCTTCTCCGAGAAGATACCTTAAAACCCTACATCAATCCTTATTTCAGACATAAGATGCCAGGTGAATTGTTTCCCAAATACCTTAAGCTCATCACTGCTGGAAAAAGTTTCCCCAGAACTTTCAGTAATGAATGAGTACACAAACAACATCTGGATGTTAATCCCATGGTGCGAGGATTTCCTGCAAAGTACCTTTAATGTGTTTGCATCAGCAGGCATTAGGATTTGCTAATTTTGGCACTGTAAGTTAGATGTGTAGCACTACACATTAGGTAAGTCACCCCAACTAATACTTATCCATATGAATAGAAAAACTGAACAAAAACATAGTTCTGATAAAGGCTCCAATACAGTTTAAGTTAATTGTTTCCACAATCAAGGGCTGCCATTTGGGATTGTTTTGTTAATGATAAAAACAGGAATTACTTATAAGGCAAAATACTTCACTGTTCTTTACTATTACATATTAAGT